GTGGTGGTTAAACACGGTATGGATGAGACGACACTCGTAAATTGAGTCCTCAACATGGGTGAAGGAACAAGAAATAAAGTTCATGTTGAAAAATATAATTGGCCAGAACAGTGTTAAAGTGCCGTGGTGAATTTAAATATTGACGAATTTAAGTTGAATTGGTTTTGTAAGAACTTAAACAATAATAGCCTATAATTTAATTAGTAAATGAATTTGTTAAAAGTATTTCCCCTCATCAAACAACAGTGGGATAGAGCGCATGTCCATGTGTGACCCAGAGCCAACAGCTGGCTATCAATGCAGTATCACTGATGTAATAGACCACTGAGATATAATAAATTAACTATATGGAAGTAAACATATTCATAGAAATTTGACTGAAATTATGAAGTGTTTACTAAAAATAATTATGGCATTCCCACATTAATATACAAATATTAGTTGAGATATTTTGACATTTTAATAAAATAGATTTAGTTTATTTAATGACCATTTTTTTTTGTGATAATAGAGAATGGTATAAATGAGTGACATTCGAGTGCTGTAGGGAGCCGGACTATCTAACCCATACGCAAGCGTACGCATTTGGGTAAACCCCCCTCCCCCCTCCATGCGTAGTACTAAAAGGTTGGCCCCTAGTTGCATACGTGGTGAATTAAAATAACAATTTAAAAGATAACGGTCACTGTTTTACCGCGGTCCCTTTAAAGTGGAGCCGCCAACAAGCCGTTGTTATTTTTGTTCAATCACCTTAACCATCGACTGCACCAGCGCAGTTTGTGTGCACTCACAAAACCTGCAGTGGGGCTTCATAAATCTGTCACTGGATTTTATCATAATATCCACAATCTAGGAGGCCTGCTCAATGCGATTGTTCATTTCTTTCTTTCTTTGTGGCAAAGAACAAAGCCATATGGGCTGGCCACACCGCACATTATATTCCCCACCACTTGTTCTCCTAATACAACTTTCTGGAACGAAAGGCGTGAGCAAAGAGATCCCCGGTCAGAGTCCGTGCACGTCTCTTGCTCACCGCGCCTGACGTCCGAGCACAATGCTGTGCCTGTGTGGCCCCAAGTTGTTTTTGCGCAAATGTCTCTTTCTTAGACGCTTAGCGAAACAAAAACACACTGGATGATTATTTATTAATTACTCCTTTTATTTAGAGTTCACGCCACGCACATTTTGCCACGTTTTGCTAATTCGACCCTTAATTGATATACTTGTTTTCTGTTGTTGAGCAAGTGAAAAAGGATGTTTTATTCAGGAGCACTCATGTTGCTCGTTAATGAGCTATTTAATTAGCCGGTAAGTTAGATTAATTAATAATGTAATGTCCACGCATAATGAGATACTTAATTTTAATAATATTATCGTTGCTGTAGTGGTGGCTGCAGTCATATTCTGCCCTCCTGTGGACAAACAGCATAATGTATTGCAATGTGTATAACGGCACAAAGCTCATGACACATTCATGTCCAGTATAGTATAAAATGAGTACCACTTTGTGGCGGTCAACAGTGGTTGTCCTGTGGATAGACTTGCCCCTGCCATAGGAACATGTATTTCTTTACCACTGGCTCAGGGCTCTGAAAAGTGGATGAGTATCACCTAATTTTCTTGTAAATTTGATCAAAAAAAATATCTTGTGATCTGTTGAATACTTATTTTATGATATACGAGGGATGAGTTTTAGGATTTATAAATGATTACAAAAAAAATGAAGTTTTACGTTTTCAAAAAGAAATGCCAGATATTTGTTCGTCTTTTTCGGATTATTTACTCTAATAACATTTAACATGTCTTCACACATCACCCGACGGCACGTGACGCCACTTTCGGTTGCAAAAAGTGCCGTCAAACAAAATCCATTGTTGTACTTTACTAGGCCTCCATGTCTATACTCCGCACCTTCACCAACCCCCTATTAACCAATGTAGTGAATAGTCAAATAACCCCCATGATCAGAATAGTGTGCGGAGGCATCGCCAACCAGCTGTGGATTGACAAGAGAGCTGTCCGCATACTTAGTATCCAGAAGGCTAATTATAAAGATAGATAGGTGAACTTATTTTGATTTAAAGCTTTCGTGACTGCAGTAATTCATATTCTTAGCTTTTCGGTAAAGTCACGTTGAAGGGAAACAATAAAATATATATAAAAAATTAAAATTCTCACGACGTTTCGACCATAACACAAACGGTCGTCATCAGGTGTGTCAGTTCGCATTAATGTATTTATTTTTAAACGGTGTATTTATTTATTTTAAAAAAACCGTCAGCGCCACGCGCAGCGATTTGGCATTTTATTTAGAAGGACTAGTCCATCTATGTTATGAAAAGAGGAGGGGGGAGACGAAAAATTAATGTATGCTGTCTGAAAGCCACCGTAAGCGTGAACAATCAATTAAGACCTGAAATGGTTAATCAAATCTTTCCAATGATTGCTAAGCCAGAATCCATCTTCTCGGTTGAAATTGTCTCTGTGCTTGTATATGTGGATAGCCTCATGAACGAATCTCTCATGGTAGCCAGATGGCTTACAAAGAACCTCTGTCTTGGAAAAATCAATGTCATGTGAGCCTACTGAATTATAACAATGATCTGCCACGGCCGAGGTGTTGGTCCTACCGTGTTTAAGGTCTGCTTTGTGTTCACGAATGCGGTCTGAGACATGGCGTTTGGTTTCTCCAATGTAACTACTACCACAGAGGCAACTTAGTTTGTAGACACCAGGGTACTGTATGTCCGGAATCACATCTTTTACAGACGGAACCAGATCACGGATTTTATGTAATGTGTTGAAACGGACCTGGATCTTGTGTTTATTCAAGATTTTGGAGATCTTTTTTGTGATCCCCGCAATGTAGGGTAAAGTGATGGTTTTGAAAGGCTCCTCAAGAGGGCCCTTCTGCATGGTTTGAGTGATAGCTTTGCGGATTGTATAGTCGGAGTAACCATTAAGACTCTGTACCATAGAGACCAATGCATATCCGACCAGGAACACATAGGCAGTGAACTCAAGCACGTACACCAAGCTCTTAAGGCTAATGGTTACTCCGACTATACAATCCGCAAAGCTATCACTCAAACCATGCAGAAGGGCCCTCTTGAGGAGCCTTTCAAAACCATCACTTTACCCTACATTGCAGGGATCACAAAAAAGATCTCCAAAATCTTGAATAAACACAAGATCCAGGTCCGTTTCAACACATTACATAAAATCCGTGATCTGGTTCCGTCTGTAAAAGATGTGATTCCAGACATACAGTACCCTGGTGTCTACAAACTAAGTTGCCTCTGTGGCAACTTAGCATTCGTGAACACAAAGCAGACCTTAAACACGGTAGGACCAACACCTCGGCCGTGGCAGATCATCGTTATAATTCAGTAGGCTCACATGACATTGACTTTTCCAAGACAGAGGTTCTTTGTAAGCCATTTGGCTACCATGAGAGATTCGTTCATGAGGCTATCCACATATACAAGCACAGAGACAATTTCAACCGAGAAGATGGATTCTGGCTTAGCAATCATTGGAAAGATTTGATTAACCATTTCAGGTCTTAATTGATTGTTCACGCTTACGGTGGCTTTCAGACAGCATACATTAATTTTTCGTCTCCCCCCTCCTCTTTTCAGAACATAGATGGACTCGTCCTTCTAAATAAACTGCCAAATCGCTGCGCGTGGTGCTGACGGTTTTTTTAAATAAATAAATACACCGTTTAAAGATAAATAAATTAATGCGAACTGACACACCTGATGACGACCGTTTGTGTTATGGTCGAAACGTGAGAATTTTTATTGTTTTATATATTTTATTATTTTATTGTTTCTCTTCAACGTGACTTTACCGAAAAGCTAAGAATATAGGTGAACTTATGTTGTTTCATAGCTTTTAATTACCAACGAAGCCTCACTGAGCCTCAACACTCTTATTCAAGAAGGTATTGTTAAGCTTTATGGTAGGGGGCAATGTTGCTGTATAATTTCCCGGTTGAGTCATTTATGGGTAATTATTATTTTTTGGTAAGTTTGGACCATGACACCAGCACACATGACCTCTTTTTTAATGGGATCTTAAATGTCCACTGCGAATACACCCGCTATTATATTGGGAGTAGTGACGGGACATAGAGCGGTGGCATGTTTGCCAATTGTCTCAGAAGTTCACTGTTCAACTCAAGCGGGCCACCCTGGTAAATACTGTGGGTGCTTCACAGCAGACGTTAGAGATCCCGTGATGTCATTCGCACGGTTAGGCCATTGTGTGCTGGGATCATCTTTCAAATTTGCCAATGTAATATGCGTAACTATTATCGCCCCGACTGAAAAAAACGTGGCAGGTTCCTACTGCGAAAGAGTTTGTGACTTTGTTGAAGCTTTCCCTGTGTAAACAAATGTGCTCGTAAATCCAGGTCGACCACGGTGCTCGAACTGCGATTCTCTGCAACAGATTTCAACGTCATTTTGCCAAACCAGGTGAAAACTCAAGACATCAGGATAGTGTAATTTGCAGGAGTGGCCTGGGTCAGCAAACTGCCAGGCGACAATCGGTGCTACCGCTGTTAGCTTGCCCGTGACGAGACGCCACAGTCCAGCGCGATAACTATTTAATTCTAACAAAATATTTCTCTTTTACCAGGTAAGGCCCACTGAGCTATTTTTCCGAAGTGACCCAGCTATGACAAATGGCAGCTCAACGAAGTGGCTTATCACGTGGCAATTTCTCGCAGCCAAATACTCTGAACGCACATTTCTAAATGTGGAGGGGAAAACCGGAGCACCCGGGGGAAAAATCCGCGCGGCCATGAGATAGAGACATTCAAACTCCAAATATACAAACAGGCATCAGGTTCGGGATCAAACCCACGACCTCCTGTGTACCAGGCGAGGGAGTTAACATCTCGCCACAAGCGCCACACGTACGTTGACACTGCCACGCATAAGCGTACGCTACAGGCCCCGCGACCGACCCTCCGCGTGGTTCCCGTGCAGGCCTGCACTGCGACAACGTCTGCCCGGAGGGGCGATGGGGGCCAAACTGCTCGCTGTCATGCAACTGCAACAACGGCGCGTCCTGCTCTCCTGATGACGGCACGTGCGAGTGCGCGTTTGGCTACCGGGGAACCACATGCCAGAGAAGTAAGCTCGTCTCTCTCTTTCGTCAGATGCTGATCTTTTGGCTCCGAGCAACATTCATTACTCCTGAGATGCGACGAATTTTGTCCAGTTTTGCATTGTCGTTGCGATGTGTAACGCCAATTAAGTAATTTTGCAGGTATTTCTTTAGCCTTGAGATGTTTGGCCAATGTCCACTTACATTATATGCTTTTTAGCACATCATTAAAATCACACTCCAGTTTGTTTCCAATTACTTACTAATGTCATTTACTCGGCAGTGATGACATATTTTTCAACAAAAGTGTCCACTCTTTCATTGTGACGTGAAGTTTAATGGTGGGGTGAGTGCATTTCATTCTAAGAACTAAGAAGAAGAACAGTTTAAACAGCCAGAGTGAAATTGGTGACCACTTTTAAGTCAACGTTGTTTTTTTTTTTCCCCCACCCGTGCACGGTTCTTGCACACTGGGCAAGCATCTTAAAGCCCCCACCTCGGCCCACCCAGCAGTAGAGATGGCTAGACCGCAGTTTACCGATCGGAAGGTTGTTTGAGGTGGGGTAAAGCGTGGGTAATCGCGTCTCTTTCAAGATGGTCTGACCGGCATTGTAACAGTCGACCAAATGCCATAGCTAAGATGGGGGGCTCTCAAGAGCTTTTCCTAGTGGTGCAGTCCTTTGCGCAGGCAGTTGGCATGAGGAGGCAGGAGCAGTGGCCGACCCTTGACCTTTTTACATTGTTTTTCAGTCTGCTCGCCAGGGTTTTACGGAGCTCGCTGCAGCCAGGCTTGTCCACAGTGCGTGCACAGCAACGGGCCCTGCCACCACATCTCGGGCCAGTGTGACTGCCTGCCGGGGTTCCACGGATCGCTCTGCAACCAGGGTAAGTCGTAAGCGTCGCCGGGGATTACGGGCATCATGTGGCCGCGTTCAAGCCCAAGAATATTCATTGATGCTGGGAATATTCGAGTCAAATTAACATTGCATTTTAATTGATTTTATTTGCCACAAAAGAACTCTGTTAAGTACTTTTAATGTTTTCACCAATGCGCTGCAGAAATTTGATTATTTTTTTACAATGGCCTTAAATGTATTTATAATTGCCTGATGTATATTATTTTCGACTCAACAGTGTAATGCATAATGAGCACGTTCTTTCAGTGGTTCAATATATGTATGTGTATGTATGTTGAATTTGTTTTGCACCGTACGTAGCCAACCGTGCTAATCGGAGGTGTGGGGCAAGGACAACAAACTAAACACAAAAAGCAGTTCAATGGAAGCCTACGTCTTAAACGTTACATTTCCCCCCCCCTCCCCCCCGATTTCATGCCATTTGCACTCTTAGCACAATGTTTTAAACATTAAACAGATGTACGGTGACCACTGCCCTGATATATAATACACATATACGCATTCATGTGCTTCCAAACCAACTGCAGTCTGTCCAAGCAAGCGCTACGGGAAGAACTGTTTTGGGACCTGTTCGTGCACCAACAACGGCACGTGCAACCCCATCGACGGCTCGTGCCAGTGCTACCCGGGCTGGATTGGCAGCGACTGCTCACAGTGTAAGTGTCTGCGGATAGCGACCAAAACCAGGGGTGCTGTGTGCGTACACAAACACGGAGGAAAGGCCCCTTGTGAGCGTGGCTTCCCTCGCCCTCCGTGTGGCCCTTCCCAATGTTCCCATTCGCCACCAAGGGATGGCTTTCTTTTGAGCCTCAACCCAATTGGTACTCGACCAGATGACGCCAAAAGGCGTCATCTGGTCTATTCGCATATTTGCGAATAGACTTTTCAGGTTTCCTATGCATTTTTAAAATCTAGATTGAAAACTGATTTCTTTCTCACTGCTTTTCGTGTTTAGTTTGTTGTCCTTCCCCCACACCTCCGATTAGCACGGTTAGCTACGTACGGTGCGAAAGAAGTTCTACACACATACACCCACCCCAAAATGCGCGTGCACACGCACACGCACGTTTCACAAAGATCCCCTGTGTAGCCGACACAAACTGTCGGGGCAAGTGTTGTAAGCGAGCACCCAAGGTGGGCTGGCATGGTGCACGAGGGGGTGGTGTTGTCAGCACCGAGCCAAGCCACCTTTGTCTCCCCATTGCTGATGCTTATACACTGCAGCAGGTACTTATTTAAGGCTGAGTCGAGCTAGGGGAAAGCTCAGCATTGTTTTTCATATCACTCAAAACTGATGTTGGCCATGGTCGGGAACCGAGACCTGGTTAAGCTTCATAGTGCAGTGCACCATCCGCTAAGTCACCGCTCCTCACGTGCAGTGCATGACTGAGGTGATGCAAGCTCTGTTTCACTCTCTCTTCTCCTCTACTTGGAGAGAGTAACGGATACATTCACCTATTGCATGAACAGTGCAAGAACCTCCATCGATACCAATCGACTCTGATATGCCTATCGATGAGCAGTATAACACAGCTGATGCCGTTAGGGATAAAGTTTAGGGGGTTTTGCCTTATTTGCAAGAAACTATCATAGCATGTATGAAGCATGTATGAAGCATGTATGAAGCAGGTAAAAAAATATGACTCTTGCTGCATTGCAGGAAGGGTCGTTTTGTTTGATTAAATTCCACATCATGTTTCAAACTGCAGCATCAGGTATAACCTACCTGCAGCACCAGGTAGGATTATACAAGTCTGGCCCACGTGAAGATGATGTAGAAATAAAACGGATGTATTGTGGCGTGCACCACTTCGAATGAACAGTCAGAATTAACCGCTACTTAATGATGCCTTGCACAAAAAAAAATGATTGGACTGGGATGTCCTGTCATGCTTATGCAGCAATCTGGAGATAAGAGAACCATCAGTAGACACCATAAGTTTTCCAAATGAACAGCGCCATTGACTTCAATGGCTCACAGGACCCCACTGAACTATCATAAATAAATTGCCCATGATGCAACACGGCTATGCGTTAAGCCATCCCAGCTGACGTGACAGATAGGAAACTTAATAGTTTGAACATCGAACAACTCCCGACTGACTTGCTGGTAGCCCTGCTGTTTTTATTAGGCTTTAAGGGAGTGAGCACTGATTAAGTGTGTATATCGCCTGTAGGGTTACGCTGCAACAGAACACCATCCCAAAGCACACAAGTGCCTTTAAGCGCAACTGCCACGACTCTGCTGTGTAATTAAAACAATAAACTAGCATTATCCCTCAAGGTGGAGGTAAATGATCTCACTGCAGTGCGTGTGGAGAGAACAAAAAGTGTGAAACAAAGCTTCATGGAACTTTAAAGGCGCTCCCGTTGTCAATAAGAAATGACCTTAAACCAATCATTTGGGATTCAATCGGACTTATCAAGGATTACTACAATTAGTGTAGTTTATTGGCTCCTGTGATTTGATCTGTCACCGCGATGCTGAAGCAGCATTGACCTCCGTCACCCCCCACCGTTGCTGCGTGCCCGAGTGTCTGGAGATACAGCGCGGATTTGTGAGCGCAATTAAGGAAACTCTAAACCTCACCGATCGGAGGGATCAGCCTGAGTTAGGGGGAAATTGACATTCAAGCTCATCCGCGTGATCTATGCCACCCAGCGTTTGCCTCATTACTCCAAGTCAGCCACTTAATTTCAAGCATTTTTAAAACGTACCATGCACTTTGACCATTAATATTTAAACACAAATCAGGCACTTTACGGAAGAAAATGCTGCCGCCGTCTGAAAAGCTGTGAGATGTGTTGGGGATAACGGGGGCTTAGATGGCAAAGCGCTGACTTTAATCTCTCAAGTCCCCGTAGAAATGCGCTATGCTCTGTCTACGAGCCGGGGATGGTGGTGCACGCCTGTGATCTGGTACTTTGGAAGCACGGTTGGTAGCTCACATAAGGGCGCCACAGTGGCGAAATGTTAACTACTTCGCTCAGTATACAGGTGGTCGTGGGCTCAACCCTGACTCTGACGCCTGTATACTTCGAGTTTGCATGTTTTCCCCATGTTTGTGTGTGTGTGTTTTTTTTAGAGTATTTGCCTGCGATAAATTTCCACATGATGAGACATTTCGTTGAGCTATAATTTGTGGCCAGGTCGCTTCTGAAAAGGAACTATATAGCTACTATATAGCTGAGTGGGCCTGACCTGGTAAAATAAAAAAAATAGTTTAGTTTTAAATAGTTGTGACAAACCCAAAACCCACTGTGGGTGGAAGGTGGCCAGGATTGATAACAGTACACCAAGTGGGCTCATGAATTAGTCTGAGTGTCATTGCCTTGCATGTTTACTCTAGGGGCTCTAGTTTCCTCTCCCACATTTATGAACACTCACTAATTGTCTGAAAACACCTTCACTTCTTGATAACCGCAGGGCCTGGGCAATAGTTGGTGCTAGCTTACCGCCTGGTTGCCTTGCAGCCTTAAAATACTAAACATTGCCATTATTACGTGTTGGTTTGTATGGGTAGTGCAGTTTGCCCCGAGTTGGAGAACAGTAGTTAAAATAAATTGTCAACATTTTATTCACAGGATCCTTATGAAAACATATTGAGACTCAGTGACACTTTTATTGCTAACTAAATGACATCCGTTATTTCAGGCTGCGGCCATCTGCCTACAAAGGACTCGCATCAGTACCCAGCTCACTTAGACCTCGCGATGGTGCATGATCCCCAATGCTATCACTCTGAATACAGTGCCTAGTGTACAGGCGGTGCAACTGCACCGGCAGTCCTGAGCCAGAGGTGGTGGGGGGGGGGGGGACTCATTTGATCCCTTGCCACCAGGACCCATGCCAGACACCCGACTGAACGTGCGCCGAAAAATGAATCGATTTTGTGCGAGCTCCCTAATGCCCTGGCGGGAGAGCGACAGGGCGTGCGACTGGCGCACACACACACACAAAAAAAAAACCCCGTCTTCTCTCGCGTCTGACGCTGTGGCAGCCTGTCCTCCGGGCCACTGGGGGCCGAACTGCATCCACACGTGCAACTGCCACAACGGGGCGGTGTGCAGCGCCTACGATGGTGAATGCAGGTGCAGCCCTGGCTGGACGGGGCTCTACTGCACCCAGCGTGAGTCGGCGTCGTCGCCTGGGGTGGCGACCGCGGTCCCCGCGCTTACCCACCTTGTCCTTCTGTCTCCGTTCTCCTTCGCTCGATTTTGTTTCGTTTTGGCTACTTCGTTCGGCCCATTTCGCGTCGTGGACTCACCCGGAATATCACCTTCCCGGCCGTCGAAACGAGAGGCGAGTTTCAGATAAAAGGGGACGTCCATAAATGACGTCACGCACCTGTGGGGGAGTGGGGGGGGCGGGGGGTCAGACATTTGTGACGATGTGTGACGAGGGGGGTGGGGTTGTGACGTCACATCAATATGCGCAACTTTAAATAAATATAGACAACACCTTCTTTGGTTCTTTCGGTAAAGTCACGTAGAATGAGAATAAAATAATAAATTGATAAAATAAAATAACGCAATTATTTTGATAAAATAAAATAACGCAATTATTTTATTTTATCAATTTATTATTTTATTCTCATTCTACGTGACTTTACCGAAAGAACCAAAGAAGATGAATCATTGCAGTCACGAAAGCTTTAAATCGAAATTTATAGACAACACGTTACACTTAATTTAATCGACTTTTTAATAAATGTTTTCTCCTACATCAGAGTGCAGCGCCACATTAAATACGCACTACAATGACAATAGTTTAAAGCAATTTTAAGCATGTTTTATTTTTGGGGGGAGGGGTGGACAGTGCTTTGTGACGTCATATTTGAGGGGGGGGGGTCTGACTTTTTGTGACGCCGTGTGACGAGGGGGGGGTTAAAAATCGTCCAAAATCGTGTGACGTCATTTATGGACGGCCCCTAATCGCCCCTCGCCTCTGTCCACCCAGCAGTATAAATGGCTACAACGCAGTTAAGTCAATCGGCAGTTGGCATGTGGTGGTAAAAGTGTGGGTACTCGCACATTTTCCAAGACATCCGGCCAGCATAGCAGAGTAGACCAAGTACCCCCCAGCGGTGCTCTCTAAAATTCCCTCTAGCGGAGGCCTTTCCATCGACAGCAGTTTGAGCTAGTAATTGCAGTAATTGCACCTTTGCTATTACCTTAATCTTATTACGCAAACTTGAATGTTTGAAAACCCAGCAAGATGCCTGAATGAGGTTTCTCCCTTTTGATTTGTGCCGAGCCGCGTGATCATTTCATAAGCGCGACTCCATCGCTCCCGCTCTGCCCTTTTTGTTTTCGTTTACGCAGGCTGCCCGCTGAGCTTCTATGGGAAGGACTGCACCCAGCCGTGCCTGTGCCAGAACGGAGCGGACTGTGAGCACATCTCGGGCCAGTGCACGTGCCGTACGGGTTTCATGGGACGCCACTGTCAGACGAGTACGTGATGGTGCCACAGTGGGTGCCCCTGATGCACGGCGAGGGGCCGGTGGGGGGTGGGGGGGGTTGGGTGGGGCTCTCCAGTTGATGTGGGCGATCAACTCCGCTTTGATTTGTGTCTCGGGTGTGGAACACACAAAAGCGATCGTTTGAATTATTGGAATGTAACTAATGAGGCTTCATCAAAGCTTCCTCCAGGAGACCAGGTCTGGATGATAGCCAATAAACGGTGCAGTATTCTTCTTCTTATGATTGTTGCTGCTCCACATTTACCACTGTATAACATTTGCCTGTAAGCACATCACCTGGAATGTGGCAGGTTGCTTGGATGGTAGACTGAGAACTATCAGTTGTAAGTTCGTGCTGCAAGGTGGCCAGCAGATGGCAGTCCAGAAAGTGGTTTGAATCCATACCTGTGGTGCTTTGAGCATTATCCCCTTGTATCTGCAGGTACTCTCGCTTCCTTCCATATGCCAAACACTCGTACATATATTTTATCTATCCTTTGAGTTTTACAGAACGTTCCATTTCCCTAAAACAACACTCATTCCAATAAAACAGTTGACTTAAAATTACGGATGAAATACTCCCTGCATTGCTGTGGCATTTTCCTCTGGGGAAAAAAAATGCATTAAACTTACGTCGGCTTTTTACTCGGAATTATTTTATGGGCAATTATAAAGGTTTAGGACGTGCATGTATACGACGCTTACATGTCTAAGCAATTCAAGCCTCTTACATGACATCTTATCTCACCTATTCCAATGCCCTGCTGTGGTGTAGTCAAGGTGACCCCTTGTGACAGCTGTCCCTGTGCAGCACAACGGTAACACCGCACTACTGGCCTGCCAAGTTGGCATTGGCCTTCCCGTAGGGGGGACGACATCGTTTTGTGGCTTTTCCAAAGTAAGAAACGTTTTTAGTGTGATGATTGAACAAATCTGGACCATGACGCTGGCACACACGGCCCAATTCGTTTTGAATAACGTCACGGGATCTTGAACATCCACTGTAAAGCAGAGGGCCCCTATTAATGTGTTTTTACGCCCCCGTTATTAACCAGAGTGGCCGCTAGTCTCACGGCACGAATCTTTAGAACAAATGGCTAACTCGACCTATGTCACCGCCGCGTGATGCGAGTGTCTGTGTGTGTGTTTCGTATTCCTGCAGAGTGCCTGCCCGGTACGTTCGGCTACGGCTGTCGCCAGCTGTGTGAGTGTCTCAACAACGCCACGTGCGACCACGTGACCGGCGCCTGCTACTGCCACCCTGGCTGGAAGGGCATTCGCTGTGACCAGGGTGTGTGTCCTGACGCTGGTACACCCACACACGGCCGCCCTCCTCCATCCCAACCAGAATAATATTGTGTTATTAACCAGCGGCAGCACTGTTGTGGGAGCTCCAGATATGCTTCCCGTGGGCAATCCTACTAAATTAGGCAACCTAAGCTGTCAAATTGATGCCCCCATGGATTGTAGTGGTTATCACCCCAGACTCACGATCCAGAGGTCGCCGATTCCATTTGATCCACCGGTGAGGCAGTTGAAACAATGTCGCAAGTTATTTAAAATTCTACCTGTGCCTCTGTCCACCCAGCAATATAAATGGATACACTACTGGTACGTGATTGGCTCTGTAGTGTCCTCTAGTGGAGGCACAGCTATCATTAGAAATGTTTTGGCCCGGGATAAGGTGGCATCCTCATGGTTATGGCCACACCATCCCCTCGTGTACCGTGCCGGCTTTTATGCTAACATCACCTGCCCCAACAGCCTGTGTAGGCTATGTGGGGAAATCTGTTTCCTTGTATGTTGTATCACGAAGTGCCACGTTTTTCCGCAACATTTTCCTTCTCACTACTTGGGTTCTGTGGTTCATAGATTTGGGCTATAAGAACTTTGTATGCTGGCCACGATTGTGCTCATACAACGAAGATCCAACAGGGGGAAGAACTCCCTCATAAATGCTTTAGGCTGCATACATTTTTCGCTTGGCAGAGGATACTACTGTGCAATGAATATGCATATATAAGACAGATACCATTAAGCATAATCCATCCATTTTAATGACGGTGAATTTAATTTGCATCTGTTATTTCAGTTTTTGTTGTGCACAAAGCACTGGGGGGCGGGGGGGGGGGGGTTAAAGATTAAAAAAATCACATGTGTATTTCGTGTACCTCCATATTTTGAAGGGAAATAACAAAAAAACGAATTTTATTTTAAAATCATGCATTTCTCTGTATTTTGTAGATGACTGATTCTGCATTATCATATACTGTGCATGTTAAATCAAATATTAATATGCATGTGGATTTTGCGAACACGGTCTCCTGGGTGCATATTTCTCATTTCACATATCTCTGGATTATCAGTGGCTCTTCTCGCAGCCCACTACATTTATATCCTTTGCCTGGAAAGTTCACCTCACTGCGTGTATCTATTTTTGTCCACGTTCCTTTGATCTCACTACCGTTTATTGCTGTTCTTTTGTCTCCATTGAATGCGTGGGTGCCAAAGGTACCGATTTGTTTTGAGACCCTAATGGGCTAGCACCCTCACAAGTACCACCGTCGCAGGATTACTGCGTGTTTATGCCAATGACCTAAGCGACCGAGTTAATCTGAAAACCTTGCCACGATTTGAAATTTTCTTTGTAAGTGAGCACCCCCGGTGGGCCGAGATGTCCTCGTGGAATATATTAAGTCATTTACAATGGTAAGGAAACAACAACTTTGGCTACCAGCAGATCGTGCTGCAGGCAAACAAGCAAATGCCTTGCAAGAGCAATATTTTTTTGTGTTTAGTTCGTTGTCCTTCCCCTGTACCTACGATTAGCACAGTTAGCTATGTACGGTGCGAAATAAGATCAATATATTTCCATAATTAGCCCGGGAGAGCAATGAACACATGTTCCGGACTATTTATCCTGAACTCGAGTTCGATGAACAGCCACCGATAACGACGTCAGTGGTGATTGATATCTGAAGCAGTCCTCCCACGTGTATAAACACTCATGAATTGGCTGGAAATAACCCGTTATATATGTAAAGGACTGCAGATCTTGGGCAATTGTTGTACTGGCAAACTACCTTCCAGCTTGTCTGCAGTTCCCCGACGATTGTGAGATGCAATTTACATGAACGACAACGCTATGTTAAACTAAAACATTTTAAACTAGATTTTAAGTTTTCGTGACTGCAGGGATCCATACTCTTTGGTTCCTTCGGTAAAGTCACGTAGTAGGTATAAACTAAAATAAATGAAATCGGTGATTTTATACCTACGTGACTAAAACATTTTATCAAATCTATCCTGATATGTGCTTGACGTAATTCCAAACGGAGGGGTGCTAACCGCTGGGCCTACCGCGAGTGGCTTTGTTTCAGCTGTTTAAACCCTGCGGCTGCGCCGCTGGCAATTGACCTCGCGGGTTCACCGAGGCCGTCGCCGTGTGTTTCCCGGCAGCCGGGCTCATCATCATGGAGAGCTCGAACTCCCTGAGCAAGGCGACGAGTGCGGCCGTGCCCACGGAGGGCCACTACGTGGTGGTGGTAGTGGGCATCGTGCTGCTCATCGTGCTGGTGCTCGTCCTCATCGTCGTCTTCCTCTATCGCCAGCGGCAGCGCAAGGACAAGGGGCACGATGTGCCGGCCGTGTCCTACACGCCCGCGCTGCGCGTCGTCAACGGAGAGCCCCCCACGCTCGCAGGTGTGGCAACGAGCCGAGGAAATCCCAGAGCAATCTAAACTGTAGATTCAACTATATATTTTGTTTTACCAGGTTGGAGCAGTGGTGCAGCGGTTAGCACACTGGACGATGAACCCATCAACCTGAGTTTGAGTCGTGGTGATGTGGAGTGATATCTAAACTAAATTATTAAACTATAAACTATTTTTTTTATTTTACCAGGTAAGGCCCACTGAGCTATAGAGCTATTTTTCAGATGCGAGATGGCTCTCACAAATGATAGCTCAACGAAGTGGCGTATCGTGTGGAAATTTATAGCAGCCAAATACTCTGAACGCGTGATGTTGATTAAAAATGTGGAAGGGAAAAACCTGAGGACCCGGAGAAATATCTACGCGACCAGGGGAAGAGAGAGACGTGCGAACTCCAAATATACAGGCGTCAGGGTCGAGATCGAACCCACAACCTCCTGTATACCAGGCGAGGCAATTTATATTTTGCCACCGCGGCATCCTAAATCGACGGGCCTTCACCGAGCAATTACCGGGCCGCACCAATCATCGCGGTGAAGTACGGTCAAACAACCCCCAACAACAACCTGCACGGTGTGGGGAGGCCCTCATCCAGCAGCAGTGGATGGACGATAAGGTGCTGGTAGCTGTCACCGGCAATAACGATTTCCATTGTAAAATAATATTTCAAGGTCAACTGTTTGCAGTTGACCTTGAAATACTTTAACTTTGCTCGATTCAAGGAAACGATTGACTATCTGTTACACCTCCAATCGTGCTGTGTTTGTTGCTGGTTGCTTGCCATTTTGGCCCTTTACACCTGTGCACAGCAACTGTCATCAAACGTAATATGTCTAATGTCAACAAATTCCTAATTTTTTGGACAATTTATTTAGTTTCCCGTATGTCGGCACATCACGGGATGGCTGCTCCCTCTAGTGGGAAAATGGCGTTTGCAAACAGAGGCCACGTGACTACCAAAGCTCCTGTGGTCTGTAAACCAATCATTGTTGATCAGAGACACCTTTCAACGCTTTTCAACAAATATTGTTTCCATTGGCTAAATAGAACTCCATCACTCAATTCCGAGTGTCACATCGGGTGACCCCAAAATTGTCCTCGTATATCACGGCCTTGAAGTGATGCCGTCACGGTGAAATGGTTTGCACACTGGACTGGATTTGCAATCAGAGCTCGCCGATTCAATGGCGCGGCAGTTGAAACAACGGTGGAAGTTTCTTAAGACCCCCCCCCCCCCCACGTATGGTGGGATAACATTTCTACATCTTCCAAGGCATATGCCCAGTGTTGAAGAGTAGGCCAAAAAATACTTTCCAGAGGAACTCTCTAGAGCTCCCTCTAGTGTAGGCCCTTCCGCCTGCAGTGGCGTAAGCAGGCAATTGCAGGGATGCACCTTTAACTTTTGTTTATGCCATACTGTGCGATTGCACGTAGAGCAAGTCACAAACTCGCGTATACTTTGCCTCTTGCTCCTTATTTCTTTACCTGAAAGGTGACCGCTTTCATTGCTGTGCGTTGCAGTGGACCAGACTGCGCCCAATGGACACGGACGACATTACTTCTCCAACCCCAGCTACCACACGTTGTCTCAGAGCAGCAGCCCGCCACCTCTGATGCCCAACAACTTGAGCAGAGGCGTCAACACCAAGGTGACTCGGGCTCGCTTTGTTTTTAGCGAGCACCTGTCCCTAGACGAAGCGTTTTCTCACGGGGAATGTTTTCACCCGTATCTGCCGCACGACCGTCGTCAACACGGAATGAGATTTGGCGAGCGGTTGTATTTTTCACGTGGGAAAGTAAAAATTTTCCTCTTTTTTTTTGGCACAGGTAAAAACCTATTGGGCATACAAAAAAATGAAAATTTTCGATGGGGACATGGTTTTGCAAAAATGTTTACGAAACAATCCAAAAACAATTGGACACGGTTATGTTCCATATGGCAAGGTCGTGCATCAACACGGTGCAACCAGCGCAACGAATACAGCGCAAGGCTGGTAGAACTTGCATCACGTATAAAAAGTCTTGGGTGCAAAACAGCACTGAGGTCGACAATATTGTACAAAAATAAACCCCATGTATAACTCAAAGTCTGCGAAGCAGAGTGATCAATTGCACGTACATGTAAAAGAAATCTGAAAATGTCCATGTTTTTTTTTACATGGCTAATTTTTTTTGTTCCCACTTTAAGAGTTACACCGAATGAAATACATAAGCTTGGTTTGTGGTATTCTTTGGGTCTTTCGCTAAAGTCGCTTAGATAAGTTCAAAGAAAATACCAAAAATACCAAAAAAAACTACGGCGTTTCGATCTCAACACAAGCGTTCGTCATCAGCCCCTCTTCCTGATGACGGACGCTTGTGTTGAGATCGAACCGTCGTAGTTTGTTCGTTACGTTTTGTTATTTTCTTTGAACCTATCTACGTCACTTTACCGAAAGACCCAAAGAATATGAATTCCTGCAGTCACGAAAGCTTTAAGTCTCGTTTTGTGGCTCACATGAGCTATCTACTGCCAATGTGGATGGTACGCTGCCGTTGTGTCATGGTCAGCACAATGTACTTGCAATCCCGCAAACTGTCTGTTCAATTTCACCTCCCTTCCTGGCAGTTTAAATACTAGGGACGTTTGTTAAAGCTCCCCCGCTTCTGTTTGCCCAACTGTGTACAAATAGCTACACCGCTAAGAGGTAGATGCTCCCACCTCTTGCACGACGTCTGGCCAGCATGAAAGAGTAGCCACAAATACCCTCGGGGGCTGCCAGTGAATGTTGCTTCTGTATAACCTTACTTCTCGTCAAGGAGCTCAAACCATCACGCAAACAGCGGCCTTTGGATAACCACTGAACAAAGACATTCACTGCATCGTACGCTTTCAGATGCGCTTCTGCATCTGAAAATACTCTGTCGATGTTAGGAAGTCACTGGAGCTATGCACTTTTAAATCTAGATTGAAAACTCATTTTTTTTTACCGTTGTGTTTAATTTGTCGTCATTCCCCCACACCCCCCGATTAGTACGGTTGGCAGCTACGTACGGTGCGAAAGAAGTGCAGCATACATACATACGCATATATATAGCGTAACATAGTTCCCGGTCTTAAGAAGAAATTAAGAAGTGTCGCTTGTGTTCCTGCAGCACTATGTGGGCTTGAAAAACCACGAGCAGAAGCGCGGTGCATGCGGGATAAGCCACACCGCCACACTGCCAGCCGACTGGAAGCGCGAACGCCATGCCAACGACATGGGTAGGCATTCAAGTACGTACACGCACGCACACTCGTGCAGGGATTAACACTCAGACAATCGCTAACGCTCACTTGTCTCCGCAATCGTATGCATGTGCAGTTTTTACAGAAGTGGAATTTTCTTCGTAGGTTTGTTTGGAATGGAAACGAGGTATGGCCATGGAAGATCACTGAAAGGTATTATAGACACCGCATTGCATCTATATGGTGATTCACCAGTCGTGTTGATGTGCTGATCTATTTTTTAAATTGCCCTAAATGTGGCGGATATCAGAAGCCGTGTTTGAGCCTGGTTCACGCCTTGGTCACCACCCAGGGCTAGTCAGGTGTTGGAGCCATAAGGCTGCAAAGTGGACAGGAGATGCCAATGCTGAGTATTTCACCCTCTCGTATGCATCCGTTTGCTCCGGATACTCCGGTTTCTTCTCAGTTTACAAACACTCATTAATGGAATTTAATCAAACATCCCAATGCAGCACCCTCATGAAATTATTTCCAAACTATTAAGGATTTCCTGAATAAAGAGTTGACGTTTTATATAAATATCTCTTGGTTTTTAAATAATGTATGCAATGTATCCCTTCATTTGTAAGAATGTCAATGCAGATATTCATCTAGACCTTGGAATTATTACTTTTTTAATGATGGAAAGAGGGATGTACTCTGTCGTTGATTTCACCGAATTCCTGCTTCCACGCTGAGAACTGAATTATCACCCACCTACGCACCACTGCCAACCATTCACATTTCATTCCCTTCGGTGCAGCAAGTGCTTTGCATACGCATATTACATTGCTCTGTTACACAAGAGTTCACGTCACAGTATCACAGATAAGAGACCCTGGGTCATATTCCCAGTGGCTCGTCCACAAATCCGCAGTGCATTTTGCGTCCTGGGGGAGCGAGGTGGCGATGCAGCAGTTAGCGCACTCGGCTACGAACCTGGTGACACGTTTTCAGCTCTCAGCCATGGCTAACATGAGTGACAAATGATATCTGAACCGGTTATAAATGCTCCTCCCAAGCCTTTACCAACCCACACTGACTAATTTGGCGAGGTATGGTCTTAACGACGTACTGAGGCCTTCATCCAGCAGTGAATTTGAATCGTTATTTTGACTGGAGGAATCCGCTGAGCTATGAAGCTCTTTTTCACAGATGTCCAGTATGGGTGGGTCAGACAGTTACAACATAAAATAATACAAAAAGCCGTAGTGCAAAATGTAAAAAATAGTAAGCAAGTCACTAAATATTAAAATAAATACTTGTGATTTATCCAGATTGGACAAGGCAGCAAAAACAACAACAAAACAGTCCCAGACCACACCAAGACAACACACAGTCCCTCAATAAAATGCCACATTAACGTTGGACTATCGATACACAGGCAATGATGATCAAAGTTTACAAATGACATTTGCAAACGTGACGTTTATCACAGTGGCTATGAGACGGCGCCGTTCTCTCGTTTATGCCCTGACCCCCTGCCACCCGCCAGACGTGCTGAACGAAGCGGGCTGCAGTGCCAGCAACGCGTCCCTCAACAGCGAGAACCCGTACGCCACCATCAAGGACCTGCCAGGCACCGAGAGCAACTACGTGGAGATGCGTTCGCCGGGGCACAGCGAGCCAGCGGGGGGCGGTGCTGCTCTGTGCGCCCATGCAGCGTCCGCCATGGCCAGCAGCAACGTCTATGAACCTGGTAAGCGCCAACCCCCCCCCCTGCCACCAACCCCCCCCCACCCCTGACTAAATACAACAGGGGACTAAACCCTTTTTTCCTATTGACATATCCGAACCACACCAGGGATGTGCCGAGCCAAATACACAGATGCTTTGCGAGGCCGTAGTTTTTCACGCTTTGGTTCTGCTCGGAAAGTATGCCAGTGGAAAACCCACACCTGTGCCATGATGGCCCTGAGCTGGCACGGCTTGGATGTTTTGATGGAAAGGGGGATTTGCGTCAATAGCTCATGCTTGCAGCATAGCTGCACTTGATTCTAGAGATTATCATTGTAATTAAACACGTTTTGACATTCGCAGAATGCAGGTGGGCAGTGGCAATTGTTTAAATGGTGTCACGGTTGGTCATTTTCCTCTTGTTAAGGTTATAATCCACGTTCACTATAACGTTGTAACGTTATTAATAAAAAAAATAAAGCATTTGAAAACAAAAAGTGATTTCCTGCTATATTGCACCTATCATCTAACAAATGTCTCAGAGCATAGTTTTTTTTATATCTAGGTAACTTGCTGAATGTATTTCAGAAGTAGTCCTTTGATATCACCTTCTGCAGATTGTTCTCTAACACAGGGGCGATGCGCTTCTCTGCGACAGTTTTGAATGAACACTTCATCTTATAACATGACACGAATGTCTCCAATGGAATAAAACTGGGGGGGAAAAAACATTCGTTTAAAGTGTGCAAAAGCAACATGCAAAGCAAAGTAAATCATTTCTTCTGAAAGCGCGGTCAACTGACTGTACCGCACGCTGCCGCTCACAGAGCCCACCATGACGCTGCCCGGTACATACGGCAACGTCGGAGCATTCGGACAGAGCCCGTACGACCTCCCAAGAAACAGCCACATCCCCGGCCACTACGACCTCCTGCCGGCCCGTCTGAGCCCCTCCTCGTCTCCCTGCTCCTCGCCCGTTCACGTCGAGTCCTCTGTCGAGGACGGCGGCGGCGGCGGCGGCGAGTCGTGACTCGTGGCTCCTCCGCGTCATGGACCTAGACACGGGTCGGGGGGGTCCAGCGGGCCAAAGCGCTGCCGGCGAAAATTAGAAAAGCGACGGTGCCCCCCCACCCACCTTTGACTCTAAGTGAGATGTCATCGGGCATGGCGTGCTGAACGAATGTAAATTCTCTTAACGTGTTCTTGTTTTTTTCTCGCCCATACCCCCCCCCTGCCCCGCCCAAGTATGAACGCTAAAAAAAAATAGAATTTAAAATATTCCTGAAAAACTGGATTGATCATTCCCTTTCTGTAATATGAATTGCCAGCATTGCAAAATTATATTTTTCCAAACACGTACAAGTACATTGTACAATGTGAGAAGTACATGAATGATGTTCACGTCAAGTAGAGGTGCTGTATAAGAATACGTGCTGTGGAATTACTTAAATGAGGATTTTTTTACCTGCTATCAGATACAGGCAACGAGTATTACGTTCGTTTTGTTTTTAAATTATGACGGCTGATCCAACAAAGTCAACGTAATGGCGGTTTGATAATGTAAAAGTGCAGAGACCTGAAGCTGTTGCACAGGAGAGTAATTCTCATGATAATTGGGTAATAATTCTGGATGTAGTGAAGTGAGACAGGAATTGCTGTTCAGCGTATCGTAGTTGGTAAATGAAACACCATTACGGACCGTTACATTTGTGTTTCAGTGAGGAGAAGTAGCACAGTGGCGAGCGCATGGCCCTATGAAAACCTGCCAACCTGATTTTGTCTTATTCCCGGCTACGGCTATCATCAATGGAGAGTGATATTTCCACTGGTCCCAGATAAACCCCCCTTCGTATGTATGTATTTTGAACTTATTTCGTACCGTACATAGCCAACCATGCTAATCGGAGCACTGAACAATGTGAAGCATGGTCAAACAACCCCAGATGACCGACATGGCGTGGACGGGCCTTCATCCAGCAGTGGATTGGCAGAGGGTTGTAAATTGTTATTATGATCTACACTTTTCAAGCTTTAGCAAAAAATCCAGCAATCTGTTCAAATTAATGAAACAGAAAGTCAACACTTAATCACAACTCCTTCTGTTCCTCGCCGGTGGAGACATGCAGCCTCTTCACCGCTACAAGAAATAAAGTTAAGTATATTTTTTAGTTTGCGTTTTAGTCATGTCGCAGCGGCATATATCACACGTGACCAGATCTTTGCACGTAGAGGTTCATCTTGCAAGGCACAACAAGGTACTTTTGTGAAAGTCATGTTTTGAAAAGGGATGATGTGTTCATGAAGTTCCAGCTCTTGCTAAAGAGATTCACGCTAAAGTTAAAGCGGCGAATGAAACCCAAGGGTAAAAGGAAATCGGAAGGAAAAAAAAGCAAAACAACAAATAAAGAATTGAAGGGCTATACTTAATTAGCCAAAGAACTGAGGGTGCAGAGTTTGTTTCTGTGTAAGGGACATCCTTGTATTATTACAGTCGCCACATTTATTGTACGGAACTTTGCTTTTAAAGGTTTTCCTACTCAAAGCATTTTGCTTGCTGTGCATGTTGGACCATATTGTAATGGGTCTCTTGAAACTCTAGGCTTAACAAGTGTTACTTTGCCTGACTGTAGCATATAAACATTGAAAAGGCGAGGTCAGACCTCCATCTCTATAACTCTTTAAATGTAAGCCAGAAATCAGAATTTTCGCGTTTGCAGTGACCTTTGTAAATTGTAAATACTGTACTGTAATGATGAACGTAGACTATTTTGGAGAATGGAAACCTTACATCGCGAACGGACTGATACACGATGCATGATGTGTGATTGTTTCACTTTTCCAAGTTAATACCCGTATTTTTAACGTGTATGTGGTTTTGTATTATGATTACCATGATTTTTCTTTAAGTTACATTAGCTTTTGTATTTTTTACCATGGCAGTGTGGATATGCGCATGCTACTTCACATCATTCCTCAAGCTTTGGTCCCAATTACCAGTTATCTGCTTGTATGAGTTTGCTTCAGAGTTCTCAGTGCATTTTCAGTATATTTCCCCCTCCCCCCAAAATATTACATCTCTTCCTATATTGTGTATTAGCATTACAGTACATATATATTAAATAAGAGGCATAACTTCATATTTTTGTAAACACAATTCCTACACAGTATTAACCAGCATCAAGCCAACTAGCTTTGTCATGAATTTTGCATCATATCTGTAACGTCCTCAAAACAGATACTACATGCCTTGTAAAAAAAAATACAGCATTGCATTATTGTTTTTTATTCCATATATAATTGTAAAAAAAAAAATATCAGTTGCTGGGTAACTGGAAACGCTATTTTTAATATTTTGAAGCATGTCTCGTGTTATTATTTTCGCAGTCATCCGTACGTTTTGTAGAATATAACCAAGGAGACCACGGCTTCTCTTGTAGAAGCCACATGTTCATACCCTCACAGATCTCTTCGTTTCAGCACTGGATCAATTACTTGCTGCCTGTCCGTAAACCGGCCGGGTGGCTAAGCGGTAGCTGGAGAGCAAGTGGCTCGCAGTGCAAAGGTCACCATTTCAAATACTGGTCGGGGGTTGACTTGGCCTGTTTATCCCTCTGTGGTCGAATACGTACCACTTTGAGTGGGAAGTCAACAGTGGTTGTCCTCTGGATATACTTTACCCCATCATATTAATTTGAGAATTGCCACCACAGGCTCCCTGGGCTGTAAACAGGAGTACCTCCTCAAGGCTCATTTGAGCAAGAAATCACAATTTATTTCGTCTGTGAACACGACAAATGCGTACTCACTTCAAATGTGGAGTTGTACGGCAAGGTGAGACAGTGAAATTTGCCTAAATTTAACACCAGAATGCTGTGCTCGGAGACAAAACAAGTAACTGCCAATAAAGCAGTCCATTTAGGGGAGCGGTTCTTGAGGCTGGAATGTGGCCACAAAACTGGTGACATCTGAATAGTATACACTTAATCTTGCTTTGCAATCTTGTCAGCCATTAATTGTCTGGAATATTATTCCAGTCGGTTAATTCAGGTGACGGGGCAAGGGACATTGGTGTTTGCTTCTATGTTAAATGGGGGAATGTCCTCGACAACTGATGTGCCATACAGCCGCCAGTCATTTCAGTATAAACAAACCGCTGGCCATTCATCAGTGATTACATATACAGTACCTGAATATAACTTGATGTACTAAAAACGCTCAAAGAGCTTGCCAACCAGCCACCTTGATGAGCTGCATGTAATTGACCATTATTTTCCTCAGTCCTATTTACGTAATCTAAAAAACTACAGGCTACGTGTTAAACTAAAAACTGCAGTACTTGTATATCCTGTAAATTGGGATCCCATTGTACAAATTAGATAGGATCTATGCGACACATTGAAGTAAATTTAATTGGTAATGGGGGAGTCCACCTAGCTATGGGATGGGGTTATTATAATCTGCTCCGCTCACAAAGGGGGTAGCATGCTGCGTCTTGTAATTGTCTAAGGAAAGCATTCAATTCTTAGCAAATGGAAGCGCCATCACATGAATCCAATGTTGCGTTGCTTTGGCCCTTTAGTATTTTCCCCCGGTAGGATTCAAGAAGCAAAAATGTAAAAAAAATGTTTGCACTCAAATTATACTTTTTTTCCCTCCATGAGAGTGAGGATTTACTTACCGGATGACAGTGCATAGGAAAGAACCTCGCGAAGAGCTGCAGAGTGCATGTGAGGTTTGCGAAACAATATTCTTCAACACACCACAGGCAGGTTATAGCCATGTATACATCAGATCTAAAGTCGAGATAATTTCACATGAAAGCATGGCGACTAACACACACTGATTAAGACTAACTTAGGGCGAACATAAACCATTTAACGTTCTAAATTACCAGTCAGGAATTCTTGAACTCCTATTATCTAGCCATATATGATATATGTATTTTAACTTTCTTTGTTGTTAACTCCACCACATTTTATAGGCACCCAAATTGCAGAGGTTTGGGAGCGTGATCAATCGCCCCTTGCCCACATGTAGCAAATATACATGCTCACTGCTTTTCCAGAGCTATATATTTCAGTGCATTCCACATGCGATGTGACAACCTTGTACTGAGAGTCATCACGAAAAGTGTGGCCCACTCAAATGAGACTTGAGTCGAGGAATGTAGTTTTAATAAAATCTAGACTTCACGATCAGTTATTTCAGACATTGGCTTTTTTTAAAATAGCTTTTTGTTCTGCCGTAAGGATGTAAACCATCGTGCGGTACTTTTAGTTTCGTGTACGTTTGAGTACATGCTATTGAAAACTGAAAGCTTAGCGCATCCTGTACCACATACATTTGAGTTTTGAAAGCAATGGCTATGTTTCCATTGATAGACAAGATTTTATTATGAAATGCCCAGTCAATTAAAGAGTTTACCGAGTACATACAGTGAGGGAAAAAAGTATTTGATCCCCTGCTGATTTTGTGCGTTTGCCCACCGACAAAGAAATTATCAGTCTATAATTCTAATGGTAGGTTTATTTGAACAGTGAGAGACAGAATAACAACAAAAAAATCCAGAAAAACGAATGTCAAAAATGTTATAAATTGATTGGTATTTTAATGAGGGAAATAAGTATTTGACCCCCTCTCAATCAGAAAGATTTCTGACTCCCAGGTGTCTTTTATACAGGTAACGAGCTGAGATTAGGAGCACACTCTTAATGGGAGTGCTCCTAATCTCAGCTCGTTACCTGTATAAAAGACACCTGCCCACAGAAGCAATCAATCCGATTCCAAACTCTCCACCATGGCCAAGACCAAAGAGCTCTCCAAGGATGTCAGGGACAAGATTGTAGACCTACACAAGGATGGAATGGGCTACAAGACCATTGCCAAGCAGCTTGGTGAGAAGGTGACAACCGTTGGTGCGATTATTCGCAAATGGAAGAAACACAGAAGAACTGTCAATCTCCCTCGGCCTGGGGCTCCATGCAAGATCTCACCTCGTGGAGTTGCAATGATCATGAGAACGATGAGGAATCAGCCCAGAACTACACGGGAGGATCTTGTCAATGATCTCAAGGCAGCTGGGACCATAGTCACCAAGAAAACAATTGGTAACACACTACGCCGTGAAGGACTGAAATCCTGCAGCACCCGCAAGGTCCCCCTGCTCAAGAAAGCACATATACATGCCCGTCTGAGGTTTGCCAATGAACATCTGAATGATTCAGAGGACAACTGGGTGAAAGTGTTGTGGTCAGATGAGACCAAAATGGAGCTCTTTGGCATCAACTCAACTCGCCGTGTTTGGAGGAGGAATGCTGCCTATGACCCCAAGAACACCATCCCCACCGTCAAACATGGAGGTGGAAACATTATGCTTTGGGGGTGTGTTTCTGCTAAGGAGACAGGACAACTTCACCGCATCAAAGGGACGATGGACGGGGCCATGTACCGTCAAATCTTGGGTGAGAACCTCCTTCCCTCAGCCAGGGCATTGAAAATGGGTCGTGGATGGGTATTCCAGCATGACAATGACCCAAAACACACGGCCAAAGCAACAAAGGAGTGGCTCAAGAAGAAGCACATTAAGGTGCTGGAGTGGCCTAGCCAGTCTCCAGACCTTACTCCCATAGAAAATTTGTGGAGGGAGCTGAAGGTTCGAGTTGCCAAACGTCAGCCTCGAAACCTTAATGACTTGGAGAAGATCTGCAAAGAGTAGTGGAACAAAATCCCTCCTGAGATGTGTGCAAACCTGGTGGCCAACTACAAGAAATGTCTGACCTCTGTGATTGCCAACAAGGGTTTTGCCACCAAGTACTAAGTCATGTTTTGCAGAGGGGTCAAATACTTATTTCCCTCATTAAAATGCAAATAAATTTATAACATTTTTCACATGCGTTTTTCTAGATTTTGTTGTTATTGTCTCTCACTGTTCAATTAAACCTACCAATAAAATTATAGACTGATCATTTCTTTGTCAGTGGGCAAATGTACAAAATCAGCAGGGGATCAAATACTTTTTTCCCTCACTGTACAGTATTAAGAACATTAAATAGCAATGCCTCTTACGTGGTCATATGTAAACATGGTAGATTTGAAATGTCGACCTACTTTTTATTTCACATTCACAGATAACCTCTTTATCCATGGAGATCTCAAACTTGATTTCGATAAAAAGGTTAAAGTTCTCTTGTGTTTGATTGTCCAGGTATGCATACACGACCTACTTTGTAATTTCTGCTGAAATAAAAAATTAATGTGTACAAATATTCTTGTACATCATGAATTATCTCAAGCAAGGGTTTTCGGAATTTATCTTATTTTTTTACTATTCTTTTTTACACATATGTTGTTAAAATACATGTTTGTGTGAAAGTGATGGATAACAACACGCTTCCATATGTCATACGTGCCGATACATGTACACGCTTTCAAATAGGTCATCTGAAAATGCCAAGATGAGTAATCGCTGACTCGAGATTACTGTTTTGACCATACAATTGCATTTTGTTAATATGTAATATAAGCTACATTATGTGCCAATAAAGTTGATGTATGCTAAGCGTTGCGACTAGTCTTATTTTGTTGTGCATTTATACAGTGTGTAGCGTCAATTCTGAACTGAATTATACTTGTACAACTTCCACACTCGGTATCTGCTGAGATACATGTACTAAGGCAGTGTTCATTGTTTTAAAATATATTTATCAATATCGCCTAATTTTTATGAAATAAGAACTTCTGAGAAAATGTATATTCACATCACGTACAGGTTTAACTTAGTAATTACTGCACACATGCTATATACATGCACTAACAGCAGAGCTGTCATAACATTTTTGGAACGGGTATTAAACGTACAAAATATAAAAGTGATTTTCTGCTCAATGTGTGCATCGAAGTGGTGCTCATCTTCCGTTTACAGCCCTGAGCCAGTGATGGAAGTTCCACGTTCCTGTGGTGGGGGCGAGTTATTCCATAGGACAACTATCGTTGACTTATCCAATGTAATTTTCATTTTACTGACCCCAGAATTACCCAACCAAGATTTGAACTCGCAAACGTTTCAATTGTGAACCACTCACTCGACTGCTCCAGCCATCTGGCCAGATATACAATACATCGGCTTACAATAGTCATTTAACTATACAATAATCAATTACTGTAACTAGTACCAGTGATAGTAATCTAGAAAATTAATACATTTCCTTTGCATATGTCTTAATATATACCTTATTTTGCGGAAGTTTTATGAGCAGATCATTATTTGTAAAATATTTCGTTCACCTCTTCTATGTACTGTGCATATAGAATTTCATCTGCTGATGATTGTCTTGAGAGCAGCTCATTGAGGACTGAAGACGGTCCCACCTGCCGGATCCACGAATAAACCTGAGCAGACGAGCACCAGTTGACATCCTCTCCCTCGAAACCACGTGGTTTGTTTTGCATGCAGGAGCAATGAACTTTCATAAGCAATGTGAATGTGATAGGCATTTAGTTATAACATCTGGCAAACCAGCAGTGTGTGTTAGGATTCCAGACTCTGCTAATGAGGCCGACATCTGAAAAACTGGCCCAGAGTTTATGGGTTTAAACAAATGGCAATAGTTAACATAAGTCTAAAAGATTAATCGGCCAATAAACTTTTTTTTATGTTTGTATAAATATGAAGGGAATGTTAATTACATGATGCATTCTTAAATAATTTTGATTTTTATATGTATGTAGAGAAGGAGAGGGCACATTATAAGAGAACTAAATAATAAAAAAAATGATTCCGTTACAAACTTTTAACAAGGCCACGATGCCTGCAAGACACTCCTCTGAAATTCAATTACTGCATAAATGGATCTAAAGTTTAGGAACCTGGTCATAGGATTGTGGAAATACCGCATAGTGCACAATAATATAGGATTGAGGATACATACTTATGTACTCAAGTGGTGGTGCCATATGTCCATAATCCCTACTCAAAGCCAACCTGGCAGCATTCCGAAGAAGACATCTGCTGCATCGGCTTACATAGATGGCTCTCGAACCGGCAGGTACTGACTAACTGGTAAAAAGCAAGAAAATTCAACTCAAAGCCATCCAAAAAAATCCTGGAAGCCTCAACATAAAATATGCTCATACATGGCACACAGAAACACATTTTCAACGGTTTAACATTTCAAAATTGATAGACAAGAAGCAGTTTGATTAAAGCTGTATTTTTATACACTCCGTTAAAGTAGCCAATCGCAACATAACATTAGCATGAATTCTACCCATTTTAAGTGTACAGTATTTAATATACTGTATATGTGCCGTAATAAAACGGGTATTATGACAAAAAAAGACATAATTCATGGCCCGTAATTGTTATGCATTGCTTTGTGTCATGCTTCATAAGCATTCCAGGCTGCTTACACTTTTAGATTTAACAATGTTTACTTTTCATGACAGATAATTTTGTTAAACACTGCATCCTTCATAATTAAAATATCTTACACGTACTTGCTGCGTTTTACATTCATACTCAAAATTACATTACTGAATTTGCTTAATGCCTGTCATGCTAAACATTTTTGGGCAATTTCACATTTTCACCATGACATATATAGGATACCGCCTTTTATCCATTACAATGTGGGGGACCAATCTCGCAGGTCCTATCATCCAGTGCATATAATCGTGGGTAATTGGAAGAACATGGCTGTGAATATTGAGGTTTGCGGACCCAATGGCACTCACAGACAATAGAAATCACGGGTTATAGGGTAGCAGCTAAGAGGTTCTTCTGGATTGCAATGCTTTCCTCGTTTTGTGCTAAGTCGACAAGCGTTTTTAGATTAGAACTGTCTTTCACAAATGCATAACTTCACTCTGATATCAATCCTGAGGCTGTGTAATATTCACCAAATGCTTAATTATATCTGTGGCTATTGCATTCAAGTCTCTGTCGACATCAATGCTAATAAAATATTCCCCTGCTCCAGGAGGTTCCAATATGGCCAGCTGAGACTGCAGAAGTTCTGGGGACATGAAGTGTCCTTGTCTTTGTTGTAGTCTCCTTCCGATCGTCTCTGCTGAACCATGCAGGTGCACAAATAAGACCTCAAGCTCCGTCTCCGCCTTGGTCTCACGTTTGTCGGTTGTGCCATTCGCGAGTATTCCTCTGTAGGCTTTCTTCAGTGCAGAGCACGCCAGGATTACATTATCACCACCTCCAGCAGTTTCCCTTAGTTCATCAGAAAAAAAAAACAAATTCATCAGTGCAGAGAATGTGAATGCAGGCGGTGTGCTGAGAAGGTAATCGCCGTGAAAATGTGCATCATTTAGAATAGCGGCATTAATATGTACGTGTAAGCAAAAAAATGTGACTGTAACCATCATTACAAGAAAAATAATTACCCATCTCACCTTAGAAAACTGTGCAATGACATCAGCCAAGGGAACCTGTCCTATAAAAAATACATTCCATGTGCCAAAACACATTTTAAAAATAAGTGCATACAAATACAATTATTTAGGTGTTCTTAGAATTTCATTGTTTTGTGTATGCATCAAAAATGTCATGCATGTTGCTGCAAGTTGACAGCAATTAGATATCAGGTGGAGTTGGTCAACCTTTTCGCAAACATCTTTAAGTGGTAAACTGTACTTTCAAGCTGTGCCGATAGACAGGCACAATGGGAAGCTCTAAGGTCACTGCAATTAGTATTTGGACTATAAAATAATGTAAATTCGTGTTTACTTTTGTAAAAAATATATACTTTGAATAACCTTTTCACCACCCCCTTCATATGCATTTTATGTTTTTAAACCTCATGTAATTTGCATTAAGACAATTTTTGACTGAAGTGAAATGCAGATCATATGTGTACGGTATGTTTAACAATGTATCTTAACATCCTTACCTCATCTGTGAGAGATATGCCTTTTTGCATTTTATCTTTGTTGCACTGTGGATGAAAATCATCAGCATCCAGAAACTTCCAATTCATCTGCAACGAAGAAGCATTTGCCATTAATCGGATGTCTCGCAGGTCCTGAAATCTTATAACCAGGAGAGCCCCACTGAGTCTCAAGGCTTTCTTTCAGGTGGGTCCTGCCAAGTTTTTGCAGTAAGAGGTGATGTTGCTGCTTTGTGTAATACCAATGGAATAATATGTACATAATTATTCAGCAATTGGGAAGTGGTTACAGTTGTTTCTTTGTATTAGTTACGGAAGTAAACTGGAGAACCTGGAAAAAAAAACGAATGCAGAGCAAAGAGAGAACATACAAACTGCACACTGAAATGCACCCAGGTCTGGAATCAAACCCAGGGGCCCTTCTTGGTGAGGACAAATGCTACGACTGCGGCATCCTATATATAGAGAGCTACAGGCTTGGGCCTAGAAAGGTGAGGCCGTGTTCGACCCAGAAGAACCTGGATTGATAACCCTGTTTTTTGCTTGGACAAGGCTCAGAATGGGACAAAATCGCAATAACTGCCGGGGAGTGAGCCCTGTGGTGTGGGACAGTCAATCTCTGGGCCAACCCTCGGAACAAGGAAAGACAGAAACAGAGCGGAATTTTGCAATCTTCACTCAAATGCGTACTGCATTACAAAATGTTTCAGTATTAATGATCTCTGCTCTACGCCCGTTTTGCACAATTTGAAATGGTAAATCATGGATCTTGTGACTGTGGTCGATGATTTAATTATTTGTAAAGGAACACTATATGGTAGAGGTAATTTAGACTAAATTAACGTCTGCAGTTAGTGGTAGACTACAAACAACACCTAAAGACAAGATTCTGTCTTTACATACATGAGACTGTAAGCGCACTTCAATTCTGAATTCATATAGCAATTGACGTGACTCATACCGTGTGAACAAGGGAAGGTAATGTAACATGTAATTGATGTCGTACATCTTCTACACGTATATTGCTTAATGGTGCCTGGTGGAGTGTTCACTGCTTATAACTAAAAGGTTAATAGTTCTATTTAATTTTTTTTCAATTCCTCTTTATCCCTTTCTTTTATGTTTTAGTGCTGGTTTATACTGGGTAATTGAAGGTTCAATTGAATATCTTAAAGGTTAATTTAAGGCCCTTTTTATTTTCGGAGATTGAAAAGTAATAACCCAGTAGTAATATTAGAAAAATGTGAAGCCCTGGTCACTGGAAAGCCATCGAAAAGTAATTTTGTTGCATAAAACATTGGTTTTACATGACGGTTATTTTACCTTTTCAGAAAGCGTGTTTCCAATTGTCGACCTATGCAAGAAAAACGACCATGAACATCGTCAGTAAATGTTAAGATGTAAAACGTCCTATGTACATTACAATATCAGAAAAGAATAACGCCTCCTATAAACATTTGTGGCCAAGAGATGGCAGTGTTGAGTGTCACTCTCATGTCTACGCATGCTGAGTTTTCTCACCATGCATTTCCCTTCCACACAAAGCCACTCGTTTCTAATCACACTTTGTTAACCATCCAAATGCAGGACCGTCCTGAACACTGTATTGTGACTGGGCGACAGGCGACTTCAACATAAACACCATTGAACCATACAGGACTTCATTGCACTATACACAGCATATACTACCGGTACTTCATACACAAAGACAAAAATCCCCCCGTATTGCCTGAACAGACTGTCGGAGCAAGTGCTGTTAGCGAGCACCTTTGAAGGCCGGCACGGTAGATGAGAGGGTGAGTGGCCAGAACCACGCCCGGCCGCCCTCGTCTCCCTAAGTGGCGATGTTTACACACCACACCAGGTACTCATTTGTGGCTGAATCGACCAAGGAGCGGCCCAGGACCGGTTCAGATAATTATCGTCACTGGTGTTGCATACACACCACTGCACTGACCTACACAGTGCTGCATAAGTGACACTCTTTTAACACTTTACAACCAAAGTTGGCCAAGCTGTGATCCAATTTGGTGGATTACACTATGTAACACAATTTTTGTTCCTGGGTAGTAAGTGTTATTTTCTAATTGCTTATGCCTCAAAAGTATAGAAAATGGCTATTATTATTCCCCACAAACTTTGCTTTTGTGACCAGGACTTTATGTGAACGAAAGACACAAACGCACACCACGTTTTCTCATTGAAAATAGGTAAATTTCAAAATATCACTGTCCTGGTCACAAAAGCAAAGTTTGTGGGGAATAATAGCCATTTTATGTACTTTTGAGGCATAATTGGAAAAAAACACTTACTACCCAGGAACAATTTGTTTGTTACAGTGTTATCAATGGACATCTCTTTACGTATGAAAAAATAATAGGTTTTACCCTTTCTGGCAATGGAACAGGTGTTCAGACGTTCAAACACCAAATATAAACCTTTTGCAAGGAATAAAGTCTGCATTATCCACACACGGTACTTGTGGTGAACATGCAAATAAAAACATGCAGATAACGTGTGCAGTCTTTGAAACGGATTGGTCTACACCAAAGACAGCCTTCTTGAGGGCAGTTTTACCAAATCTCAGACCAGAGAACGCCAAAAGGCGAAGATCTCTTTACAATTACCCGGATTTGACCCTGTAATATAACTCTCATATTATTTGGGTCTTTCGGTAAAGTCACGCAGATAGGTTCAAAGAAAATAACAAAAAACTACGTTTCGATCGCGGTCGTCATCATTGTGTTGCGATCGAAACGTCGTAGTTTTTTGTTTTTTTCTTTGAACCTATGTACGCGACTTTACCGAAAGACCCAAATAACATGAATTCCTACAGTTACGAAAGTTTTAAGTCAATATCACTATCGACATAATGTAAACTAGCGCCATCTGTTGGCGGGATTTTCTTGTTAGTTTATTAATGATTTTTTTCTTAAGAGCCACAACAAAATCGTTGTGCCCCACCATGGATTGGCCATCGCTTGCACTGATGCATCACTTCTAGCCTAAAATATATACCTTACTTTCTTCACCTGTACCTTTTTCAGGTGCATCTTGCCTCTATGCAATTTGTAAGTGATTTTTGTATTCGCCTCTGCGTGTCCTTCACGACTGTTATTTTACCTTGTTAGTTATGCCATATTCCTTCAACGGGATCATCCGCGTAAACAAATTAAACTTTTCATCTGTAACATGGTGTCACTATAGCGCTCGTAAAGATGATCCAATACGCATGAGATGTTAATGTAAAGCTGTCCTGACATTAGGGCCTTTAATTGGATACCGGCCTCATTGATCCAGGGGTTGTCCTTGGATCAATTTGTATGCGACGTGACCGTGGCAGGGAGGATAACGCGCGCTGCAGAATACCACGTGCTTGATCGTTTTGCTGTTTGCTGAAATGTCAACATTTGCAACTGAAATCATTGCAATTTGGCTTACCTTAGACCAGGGGTCGGCAACCTGCCGATCCGGAGCCGCACGAGGCTCTGTAAGAACTGCTTCGTGATAGTTATTTATTAAGGACCGTACCTTGGATATATTGCTTTTTTTCACCGAATTCTAAGCCACTGCTATTCAGTGGCCTAAAATAAGTTTCGCTCCGGATGACCACTGCAAAGTATTATCTGTATTTTGATTTAGTGTGCTGATCTTAAAGGTGCATTGAAAAATGTGATACTCCGACTGATGCTCCTGTTGTTTGTGGAGTGACTCATGCAGCCAGCTATGGCTCTAGGGTTTGGTGTTACATGTTATTTATGTAGTTTATTGTTAAAAAAAATCGGTCATAGTTCCTATGATCACTGTTACATTGCATTTATGGCTTTATTGTGATTTCTAAAAGTTTTTTGTTTTGGCCATGTTTTTGTTTATTGTAGTACGGAGTTAGACTGATGGCCTTAATCCAAGTTTTCTTCTTGTTTGACTTGCATCCCACTGGGATTTTTGCACACAGCGTTGGTGTATGGTGCTATTTCAGGAATATTTTGATGTTTTTTCCTGGATTTTCTGTTTGCACATGCACAAAGTCACTTTAAGATGTTTTCTTGTTCATGTCTTTGTTTGTTTGTTGCGGTTGCACCCGATTCAAGAGCCGAATGGCTCACAGGGCTATACCAAAATAAATTAAACTAAACTATGAAATTATAAAAATAGCTCTTCTTGTAATTTTTGGTTGCCGACCCCTGAGTTAGACCCACAATGCCATTAATTACAACCAAGACAGCTGAAATGACACGATAACTAACAAAGATGGGCCATGTAGCCTACAAAGGCTCTTGGTGTGGCCAGCATCCACCCCAGTCCGCCTTTATCTCCTCGGTGCTGATGCTCACACACCGCACCAGGTTGGTACACATTCGTTTAAGGCTGAGTCGACCTAGGCTTGGTGGCCCATGACCGGTTCAGGTATCACCCACCACTGATACTAGCAGTGGCAGCGGAATAAAATAAAAACAATACAGGTTTCCGGGTTGACAGCGCAGTGCACTAACCACTGCGCCACCGCTCTCCACACATCTGCACACACAATTCGCCAAATCCCAGAACTCTACCCCTGTGCAGATTTATCCGCGAATGGGCGATGTCTTGATTAGAGGCGGTAACCACCGCCTGTTTTACAGGCCTGAGGCAGTGGTGGCAAATGCTATATTCCCATAACAGGGGTGAGTCCCACAACACAATCGCTGTCAAAACTTCACCACAACGTGATACTCATTGTATCGATCCCCGGAGGGATGATGGGCTGAGTCAACGCCCCCCCCCGCCCCCCACTCGCCAAGCAGGAGTTTGAGCTCGCAAATCTGCTACCCGACTGCGTGCGTCCGTGTCAAGCAAGCAACGCAAAGAACACACACACACACGCCTCTTACTTCCCGCATCCACACACCCCCATGAGGACCACAATCATCGTTGCACTCCAGCCTATACGATAACTTAATTCGCAGCAACGTCAAGCAGCAAGGCGCCCAGAGCGTCGGAGCAGCTGTGCGTCGCTCGCTCGCTCGCACAAACAAACCGCGGTGCTTCCGCAAACGTCGGAGCAGCGCGCTTCGTGCGACCTCAGCATTAGGGGGCCGCCCATAAATGACGTCACGCACCTAGGGGGGGGGGAGGTCAGACATTTGTGACGATGTGTGACGAGGGGGAGGGTGGAGGGTGTTTGAGAAATGTGACGTCACATCACAATGCGCAACTTTAAGTAAATATAGACAACACGTTCTAAATGTTGATTTAAAGCTTTCGCGACTGCAGTGATTCATATTCTTGGTTCTTTCGGTAAAGTCACGTTGAAGGGAAACGCGTTCTACTTAATTAAATAGACTTTTTTTTTAATAAATGTTTTCTCCTACAACATCAGAGTGCAGCGCAACATTAAATACGCACTGCAATTATAATAGTTTAAAGCGATTTGAAGCATGTTTTTTATGTTTTGGAGAGGGGGGGGCAGAGCTTTGTGACGTCATATTTTAGGGGGGGTCTGACTTTTTGTGACGCCGTGTGACGAGGGGGGGGGTCAAAAATCGTCCAAAATCGCGTGACGTCATTTATGGACAGCCCCTTAACAGAAAAAAATATATAATATAACAGACGACGTTCGGGAAAATATGTGCTATGAGGAATAGACATTGCCAGGAACGTCGACTACTTTATTTATTTATAAAGCCACTGTTATTTAAGAGTGTTAATTGCCCTTTTGCACCACTGGCAACGAAGGAACATCACTAAACAATAAGGGCAATTATATATGTAGTGCAAAAGTTAGTTTCATAATGTAAGCCACATTTTTTTTGTTTATTCAGTATTTTTAGCACATTCGCCTTGCAATGCAGAAGTCGCCCTTCCCCTTACCTTCGCATCCGTCCACCCGACATATATATACTGTAGATGCACCACAGTCCATCGGGAGGTGGCGTGTGGTGGGATAAAGTGTGGGTACTCCCACATCCTCTGATACATCTGTTCAGCGTTGATCAGTAGGCTAAATATATTCGAGAGGTGCTCTCCAAAGCTCCCTCTAGCACCAGCAGCGGCGTGAGCAACTGGTAAATTCAATATTGAGCCCGGGGTGCTTTGGCGTTTGAATAATTATTTGGGGTGTGGGGGGAGAGGGGGCTTCTTGGTACGTGGGTAGTAACCAACGTTCCCGGAGAAAATACACGGGATACTAGGGGAGGAAAGATGCAGGGGACCCGGCGGAAGAGGATGAAGCATTCTTTATTAACAAGGCTTTCATAACGAATTGAAAAAGTGGCCAGCACGAAGCAGTAGACCAAATAGTAACTTGAGCGAGATATTTCCAGGGCTGTACATTTACCTTTTTTTACCGCATCATGTCTGCATGTGCTCGGCTTTGTAACGATGCAGCATTGATTTAGTCTTTGGTGCAGTAAGTAAACGATGCATATTGAATTCTGTTTATATCTCCCCCCTGAGAATTCGTGTGTGCTTTCAGGATAAACCATTGTGCGTTTGTATGAGTGGGAAACTTGGACTACAGTATGTTGTTATTTTCAAAAGCTATATGCTCCATAATACAGTTTTTTTTAGTGAGATCGCGTAAAATAAATGTGTCGTTAAACCAGCCACCACCCGACACAGCCAACTAGTAAGGTTTGTCACGTAAACAGAACGTGGCCAATTCGTTACTATTACAGCACACCGGTGTGTTGGAGAACAAATCCACAACATTTACAATCTTAGTACGACGTTTCACCGGTAATTACAACCGGCATCATCCTCCTTCCTGTTTCGTTCCTTAAATAGGTGATGTAGATGTGATGACGTCACTTGTGAGCCCTTCACGTACAAAGCGGGGTGGGGTTAATGAATGCATACAAAACTACAATGCGTATATCAATTACAGCGGTTGGGTTATTTGTATGGTAATCAACGAGCATTGTGCATGCACACTGTTCTTGTACCTCCTGTCATTTGTGTGCACTAAAATAGCAGTGGCTGTTATTGTCAGCTCACAGGTAATCACCGTTGACTATGGTGATCTGTATAGGCATGCATTTAAACAATGCATTATTTGATGATTCGCTTCCAAGAAGCACTAAGTCTGTAGCTATCCGAACGGTTACATGTATTTCTCTCAATTTCGACAGATTCTCTAACTACTCTTGGTCAGTTGTAACTAGTTTTGCACAGAACTTCAACATCAAAATCAATTTCAACCGAGAGGACGGTTTTAAACGCTGCAATCATTGGAAGTATGTCATCAACCACTTTGGGTCATGACTTGATTTGTGTTTTCTTGGCAACCTCTACCGTCAGCAGTGTGGATGGGTGTAGTAAGGTGCAATGCCCCCCCCCCCCCATCTCTACCCCCCTCTCCTCCTCCTTTCTCTACCCCCCTCCCTGCCCCCATTGTCTAACGCACTCGCTGTACTTGTACTACTTATACTTATGGCGCTTTGCTCCTACATTGACGTTGGCTGCCCCGCCCATGCTGTTTATGCCGCACAGCTCTGCTCACTTTAAAAGCGCCTTCTAAGCAGTTGCAGTTGGAGGCTTGCCCCTCCATTTCTCTTCGCCTAATGAAGGCCGCTTGTGTTGCGATCGAAACGTCGTAGTTTTTTGATTTTATTTATACATTTTTTTAAAAGTCTATCTACGTGACTTTACCGAAAGAACCAATAATATGAATTCCTGCAGTCACGAAAGTTTTAAGTCAAAATCCAATCTAGTACAGTCATTATATAGTACAGTGCCAACTTTATAAATGAGCCGTCTCATTCAACAATCAATAATCATTTCAAATCGTGCTCTGTTAAACGACGGCTGTGGAATAAATCTGCGCCGACAGATGAAGGCTTGCCACTGCATTCGTGGATTTGTCACGAATGGTAGGAGATTTGTTATTGTCCTCTGAAATATGCGCACGTGTTGAAAGTGAATTCAAAGAAGGCCATTCACATTCAGTAACAAGGATATGCATGAAATATTCCTGTAGTTTGGAGCAGCATAATATTGGCATTAAGTAAAACGTGGTGAAGAGGTTGAAATGTAATGATCATGATAGTGTTCACCATTGTGTGAACAAACTTGAATATGGTTTTGGACAAAGGTGACGATTAAAATGATGATGACGATCTTTGAATTATGAAATGCACAAGTAATTGCAAAAGCCCCATAATGCTGTAAATCGCTGGATTTCATTATATTCACTACACCGTAAATGCATTTGTTGAAACGAACAGGATTTAGGACGTGTAAGCTAAGACCCTGGTCTGGAGTTTAATATATATTCCCCATTAAATCACGCGGCGTGACGGTTCAGATAATGGGGCAAATTCTTAAACCCTCCGCCTGCCTCTTTTAACTCGGCGGCATAAACTAGTGCACAACAGCCGATCATGAAGGTCACGTGTGGTGGGGTAAAGTGTGGGTACCTCCCACCGATTCCGAAACGTCTGGCCAACGTGAACAGAGTAGGGCAAAACAAGCTCTTCTAGAGAGTACCCTCTAGATTGAGCTCCCTCCCTATCATGAACCCCCCCCCCTCTCTCTCTAGAGCCCCCTTTAGTAGAGAGACCCTTCCTACAGCATAGATAGAATGAAAAACACGAGGTACACGGTCAGTAGAAATACATATACAAGTCTACCAAGAGGTAAGGAGGGAGGAAAGACGGATAGGGAGGCAGAGAGGGGGGGCCGGAGGGATGAACAGAAGCTTAAATAGGAAATACGGTTGGAGGGGGGGAGGGGCCAGAGCGAGAGCGGCAGCTCAAACACGCACATCTTACACATACAAAACGGCAGCTCAAAAAAGGACCACCTCTTGTAAATACAAAACGGCAGCTCAAAAAAGGACCACCTCTTGTAAATACAAAACGGCAGCTCAAAAAATGACCACCTCTTGTAAATACAAAACGGCAGCTCAAAAAAGGGCACACCTTACACATAATTACAACGGTAACTTCCCCGTAGAAGTGTGATAATAAAGTATTAAAGCTTTCGTGACTGCATAAAATTACTCATTGGTTTTTTCGGTAAAGTCACATATGTAGAAATACAATAAAATTATATTAAAACAAAAAACAATCACGACGTTTCGATCACAACGCAAGCGATCTTCATCAGGTGTCAAGAACAAATCACGGAGGTAAATACAACAAAAAGATGAGAGACGAGAATTCAACAAACCTGAAAAATCATTACGTGAAGCACATCCAGTCAGGCCAACAACACAGTTAGACACTTCCTGGCGGACCACGAATTTCAGAAGAGTGGTCCACCAAGAGGTAAGGAGGGAGGAAAGACGGACAGGGAGGCAGAGAGCTGCCGTTTTGTATTTACAAGAGGTGGTCCTTTTTTGAGCTGCCGTTTTGTATGTGTAAGATGTGCGTGTTTGAGCTGCCGCTCTCGCTCTGGCCCCTCCCCCCCTCCAACCGTATTTCCTATTTAAGCTTCTGTTCATCCCTCCGCCCCCCCCCCTCTCTGCCTCCCTGTCCGTCTTTCCTCCCTCCTTACCTCTTGGTAGACTTGTATATGTATTTCTACTGACCGTGTACCTCGTGTTTTTCATTCTATCTATGCTGGTATGTGCAATCCAAAGGTTGAACACGAAATTTAACACTCTTCTGAAATTCGTGGTCCGCCAGGAAGTGTCTAACTGACTGGATGTGCTTCACATAATGTTTTTTCAGGTTTGTTGAATTCTCGTCTCTCATCTTTTTGTTGTATTTACCTCCGTGATTTGTTCTTGACACCTGATGAAGATCGCTTGCGTTGTGATCGAAACGTCGTGATTGTTTTTTGTTTTAATATAATTTTATTGTATTTCTACATACGTGACTTTACCGAAAAAACCATTGAGTAGTACAGAAAATGGCTATTATTCCCCACAAACTTTGCTTTTATGACCAGGACAATGATCTTGATTTGAAGCTTTCGTGACTGCAGGAATCCATACTCTTTGGTTCTTTCGGTAAAGTCATGTAGGTAGAAAAAATAATAATAGATCATGACGTTTCGATCACAACGCAAGCAATCGGCATCGATCGAAACGTCGTCATCTATTATTTTTTCTACCTAAGTGACTTTACCGAAAGAACCAAAGAGTCAGGACAGTGATATTTTGAAATGTACCTATTTTCAATGATACAACGGGCGAATTTGTCTTTTCGTTCACATAAAGTCAGAAAACAACAACACATGAATCAAAACTAACATGTATTTATACTAACGTAATACAAAAATCACTACAAATATTTAGACACCAAGGCGCACTACCACAGGCGGGACTGGCCACAGCGGACCGAGTTCTCTGTGGGGAGGAACAACGTCAAGTGGGAGCCACTGGTGGACCCCCAGAAGGTGCTGATGCCACCACTGCACAGCAAATTGGGCCTTATAAAACAATTTGTCAGAGCTGTAGATAAGGAGTCGGCGGCCTTCAAGTACCTTCAAGACTTCTTCCCTAAGCTGTCTGAGGCAAAGGTCAAAGCCGGTGTCTTTGTCGGACCACAAATAAACAAGATCCTGGGGCGCAATGAATTCCCCAAGAAGCTCACGAGTAAGGAGAAAGCGGCTTGGAACAGCTTTGTCGCAGTGGTTCGTGGCTTCCTGGGAAATCAAAAGGTCGAAAACTACGTGGGGCTGGTTGAGACTCTGGTGAAGAACTATGGCACAATGGGCTGTAGGATGTCCCTCAAAGTCCATATACTTGATGCTCATCTTGATAAATCCAAGGAGAACATGGGAACGTACTCGGAGGAGCAAGGCGAGCGCTTCCACCAGGATATACTGGCCTTTGAACGCCGCTACCAAGGACAGTATAACGAGAACATGATGGGAGACTACATTGGGGTGTTGATTAGTGAAAGTGATTTACAGTATAATCGTAAATCTCGAAAAAGTACTCACTTCTAAATCTTTTGTAGTAATTGTTTTATTACTTTAGTATAAATAGATGTTAATTTTGATTCATATGTTTTTTTCTGACTTTATGTAAACGAAAAGACACACATTCGTCCGTTTTCTCATTGAAAATAGGTAAATTTCAAAATATCACTGTCCTGGTCACAAAAGCAAAGTTTGTGGGGAATAATAGCCATGTTCTATACTTTTTTGGCATAAGCAATTACGAAATAACACTTACTACCCAGGAACAAAAATTGTGTCACATAGTGTAATCAAAGTGCCGCATAAACCTCAGCGAAACGAGGATGCTTGTCGTCTTACTTTCAACGGCACGAAACCGCAAAGCTGCCACGCCAAGTGCCCTTGGCTGCACACATCCCGTTCGTGTCCAAGGAGGCGTCACTGCCGGGCAGATCATCCCCGGCGGAGATGAATACGCGAGAAGGGGGGCCGTGGGAGGGGGGTGGTGCAGAGGAGGAGGAGGAGAGGAAGGGAGCAGCCAGGACTCTCGCTCCCAGCATCACCCGACAGCAGCACGAGAAGGAGGAGCGAGTGAGTTGAGCCGCCAACCAGGATGTTCGCGCGTCGGTCAGGGGCACAGACTCTTCATCTCGTGCACAAGGAAGCAGCCCCGGTGTGGATCGCGCGCGCAACCCCCCCCCCTCCCTCCCTGTGAGAACTCTTAACGTTTTAACGTAACGGGCCTCATTGTTACCGCCGCACGCTGCCCATTGATTGTGGTTGTATCCGTTGCAGCCGAGACGATGGGGGCAGGCACCGTGCCGCGTTGGTCATTTCTGGGACGCACGTGCGCATTCGCGTCCAATTGAACGGACTGTGGCCGTTGTGTATTGTTGGAGGTTGTATTATAGTAAGCCACATTGCGTTGAATGGTGGTTGATAATGTAGACGACCTGTTAAGGAGAGTGATGTCATAACGTTGTGTGTGCTGCAACTGCAAAGTATACAAGCGGCATTGTTTCCTGTGTATGCCGGCATTGAACAGTTGGTACAATGTTATATGAAGAAGAAGAAGAATGCATATTGCGCGGTCTTTAAATTGTCACCATATGTACCGTGGTAGAGTGTACTGTTACGTAGACACGCGTATTTTGATACGTGTTATGTTCTATGTACTTATAGCACTGCGTACTATAATGTTTATATCTTAGTACGATATTCTTTTAAAAAAATAATAATAATGTGGTTATTACTGCGTTCAGAAATCTGCTAAAGATAATGATGAATAGATCTAATGTATACTGTAGTTCATACGGCAATTCAGTGCAAAATGTATACGGTATAAACAATACTGCTTTATATTTTAGACAAAACGAGTATATCTCACACAACGTTGAGTCTTATTCATATTCTTAGCTCTTTCGGTAAAGTCACGTTGAAGGGAGTCTATGTCGTGTTCCATATATACAGCACTGCATAATTTATTGTAACAATTACTAGCGGTCGTATGTAGTCATATGAAGGTAGCATCTTTTTTTTCTGCTGTTCTCGGTGGCGTCTACAACAAAATGATCATTGTCGTTGAAGCTGAAGCGTCTCTTGCTGCTTCTTTTCCAAGTACTGCACTGTCGCTGTTACACAACGCTTACTTTTAATCGCTGTCCATCCCGAGACCTGTCACCACGCGTCCATGTTCCGCGTGCGCGTGGGGTGCTTGAAGCGTCGTCACTGGGGAGACAAAGGCGGCCGGGGCGTGGGTGCTGGCCACCCACACGCCGTGCCGACCTTCCGTAGGCGCTCACTGACAAACACTTTGGCCCCCAACAGTCTGCGAAGAAACTACGTCGGCGGCGTGGGGCGAGGGAGGGAGGTGGGGGCAAAATCTTTGTCTCTCTGTGCTTTTGTGTTGTTGTTTTTGTTGTCCGAGAGGACGAGACGCGCCGGTAAAATGGTCCGGCTGTAGGTGCTGCTGCGCTTGGCGGGGCCGTTTTAATGAGGGGGAGATCTGGCACTGTGGCCACGAAGCCGAGCCAATGCTGCGCCTCCGTCTGCCCGGAGCTGCCAAGGCTCAACAGCAGCAGCAACACCAATCCAGCGAAATCCAGTGCACAGTCCGCCTCCTGGACAATTCAGAACTCATCTGCTTCATACAGGTATGGGGGACTGCTCCCACTCCTCCCTCTTTCCTCCGCCACTGCGCACGATTGCATAGGTTTGCCCCTCCACGGACAGGGTCAAGGTAAACAAAAGTGCAGCAGTACAATGACACGCGCGCAACACTGTTGTGGTGGAAAGGCATACACCAGGAGGAGCTCTTAGAGAGTATCTCTACATGGTGTGTATCGTCTATACTCATCAGTGCTGGCCGGACGTTTAAGAAGCTTGGCACCATCGTTTCAACTCTTGTGCCGGGAGTTCAAACTGATGACCTCTCCGTTACAAGCGCTAAACCTTTTACACCGTGGCAGGATTCCCAAGGTAAGGGGTGTCTGCCACAAACGGGGGTTCCCTGCACGGTACAGATGCTGGGGCTATGATCGGTTCTTAAAGGCATGTGCCCAATTCCATCAGACCTCAAGCTAAGCAGGGATGAGCGTGCATCGCGCTTGGATAGGAGACCACTGTGCACAAAAGCAGTCGTCACAGTCGAGGACAATTCAGCAGAATACTTTGTTCTGCATTCCCCTCCTCTTCACGAAGAAGCACAGGCAAGAATTGTTGTGCACAGTCGAATAACCTCCACGACCCACACGCAGTGGGGATGCCCTCATGCAGCAGTGTGTACGTAGACGATGGGGGGAGAGGGGGCATGGTCCAAACACAACTCGCATGCGTCAGAGATGTATGAGGACTACACATTACACAGTGCGCACATCCCCTGTGATGGTCCTGTGATTTTACTCACAAGCCGTTTGTCAATCCACTACTGGGTGAAGTCCTCCCTATGCCTTGTGAGTCAGAGAGGCCGTTTGACCATGTGTCGCCACGCCAGTCAATGTAGGTTGGTGGCAGGGATCAGAGTATACTGGTTAGATATCACTCGTCACCGATGTTCGCTGTGGCTGGGGAATGAACTCAGGTCAACGGGTTCAATAACTGTGCTTCTCCCCATGACCACACATGTTACGATGTATATGACACGTTGTAAAGTTGCATGCAGTTACTCGATTATTTTATTAACTTTGTAGCTATGAACGTAATGAAAACATGCACTCTGATTTTTGTTTTGTTTCCAATAGACATAGCAACAATTTTCTGCGCTAATGATGAGCTTACAAACGTTTTGTTTAAACGGGCAATGTTTCGTGGTTTTTCTTGCACACATTGTATATCGTGTCGTATAAATGTTTGGGAAAAAAACGCGTTCGAAACGTTTTTTTTTACAGAACACAGGGTGCGGAGTGCATTTCCAGTGTCTAATCTTGCCACTTGTAGACATCCATTCGGATCAATACTCAATTCCATCCTCGCGTTTATACAGCAGGCCCAAGTGGGCACTGGCATATGACGTGTCGGAAAAAAAAAACACCTTTTTTTATACCGGTGCACCGTTCATGCACCGATCGGCATGCAATGATCACCGTGGTCACAATTCTCTCGGGGATGTTTTTTTTTAAATGTTCGCACATTTGAGGGCATGGGGTATCGGCCTACGTCTAAAATGTATCGTGCGCGCATCTCGGTGTGTAGGTGCCCTCAATGGAATTACTTTTTATTGACCTGGCAGATGCATTGAAGTGCTGCTGCAGGGGTCTAAGAAGGTGGGAGGTAGCAGGAGGGACTTTTCATTCTTGTTAGCGGGCTTTCGTCCGCTGACAGTTCCATCATAAATGGTTGTGTGTGTGTGTGTGTGTCGCATGTGCACCCCGTCTGTGGGCAAGCACACGGAGCAACTTAAATTCCTAGGCATGTGTCCTGTATCGTAAATATGTGTCCAGTGATTTGACATAAGGATTAATTCGTGACGAATTTATTTTAAAGAGTGGTTATTTTTCCACAAGGTAAACATTTACAAGAAAAAGCTAATTTGGTATAACTTTGTTGAAATAATATTTTTTTGTTACAATTGTGTATCGCTTTGAAGTAGGCGAAAGTCATGCTTGCAAAATATAGCATCGTTCACTCATTATAAATAACTTGTGGATTAAGCCCAAATGCATATACTGTACATTAATTTAATTATGTGCTTTCTTCTATAAAATACGAACCTCAGCTGGCACTAAATGTGGTCGTTGAGAATCAGAGTTAAGTAGGTCACTTGACTCCCTCACTCCATTAACGTCGTCGGTGCCACGGCAGATTGAATTAATCTTACGTGTCAATTTTGACTTAAAACTTTCGTGACTGCAGGAATTCATATTCTTTGGTTCTTTCTGATGACGACCGCTTGCGTTGCGATCGAAACGTCGTGGTTTTTGTTCTTTTATTTTATTTTTATTATTGAAAGAACCAATCATACATTATAGACTGCCAGTGCTCTCACTCAGGTTAAGAACCAGGCTACAGTCTACATTATAGACTGGCAGTACACTCACCTTGGTTAAAAACCAGGCTACAGTCTACATTATAGACTGCCAGTATGCTCACTCAGTTTAATAACAATTGATGCAGTCTACATTACAGACTGCCAATACGCTCACCAGCTTAAAAACCAGGCTACAGTCTACATTATAGACGGCCAGTACACTCACCGAGGTTAAGAACCATTCCTACAGTCTACATTATAGACTACCAGTACACTCACCCAGCTTAATAACCATTGCTACAGTCAGCATTATAGACTACCAGTACACTCACCAAACTTAATAACCAGGCTACAGTCTACATTAGTTTTTCTTGTTTTTTATTATTTTTATTCACTTTATTTTTTTTAATCCACGTGACTTTACCGAAAGAACCAAAGAATATAAATCTTACGTGTCTTTTTTTAGATAAACATCAATGCAAGCACCGGGTTATGGAATTATACTTGCCAGCAGTTGGGCTAACTCAAAAACAGAGACCTATGTACGCCTGTTAACGCTAACCAGTGATAGAGCAGGCAAGGGATATTATAGCAATTTTAGTGGATCAGCTCTGCGAGTATGATGTCTGTGTTATTCTGTCAGAGAAGCACTGACAATTTTTAGGTATATGTATCTATAAAGAAAGCGAAATACCAATTTAAAATAAGATTGTCAGGAATATATTGGAGAAAACATTACAGAATACAAATTTCTGGATGAATTCAAACGTTTGTATTGATTAACAAATGGCATACAATAGAAGACAAATTTTGATAAATTATAGACATTTGAGTACTAACAATGTTGAAAAGTGAAACAATACGTGTCTGACAATATGCAGTTTATCATGGGACTTTTTTGCCAGTATCAAAGGATGAAAAATAAGAATAGAGTTTACCCTTTCTGGCAATGTAAACAGGTGTTAAGATGTTCAAACAACAAATATAAACCTTTTTCAAGGAATCAAGTCTGCATTAACCACACGTACTTGTGGTGAACATACATACAACCAAACATGCTATTTAAAATAAGTTTGTCTCTGTTGTAAGCCAATCCGTTTCAAAGACAATTATATCATCAGAGCATTTTTGTTTGCATGTTCACCACAAGTACATCTGGTTAATGCAGACTTTATTCCTTGCAAAAGGTATTTATTTGGCATTTGAACATTTGAACACCTGTTTTGTTGCCAGAAAGAGTAAAGCCTATTCTTGTTTTTCATAATATGCGGTTTAATATTATTTTCTCAATACTATTCGGCCTCTCATGTTACGTGCAATGAACTATAATCGTAGCCCTGATAATGCCACCTGATACAGCAAATACATTTACAACCAAATTGGATATTATACATTTTAAACATTGACTGTCTGATTAAAATAAGGAGACAGCATTTAACACATCTGGCACTGTCGCTGCTTGCATTCGTGCTTTAAAAACACTGTATGATTAGTATCGTGATAAAAATAGTAGCAGTAGCAATAGACATTTATTTTTGGCCAGGTGAATGCCCATTGAGGTGGGGGAGCGGTTGCGCAGTGGTTTTCGCACTGCGCTATGAACTGGGCAACCTGATTTTTTGTTATTTTATTTTTACCTACGTGACTTTACCGAATAGAACCAAAGAGTATGAACCTGAATAAGATTATTGGCCACGGCTAAAATCCGGGGAGAGTGATATCTCAACGGGTCTTTGGTCACCCAAGCCACACTGACCAGCGTAGTGAAGTATGCTCAAACATCCGCAGTGGCTCGCGCAGCGCGTGGTGCCTTCAAATCTGATTTGTGCTCGCGAATTCGGTCGGAAATATGTCGTTTCGTCTCCCCGATATAGCAGGCACCACAGGTACAACTCAATTTTTGTAAACACCGGGGTACTGTAAGTCAGGAATGACATCCTTTACGGATGGGATCAGATCCCGGATGTTGTGTACTGTATACATAAATAAAAATAGTTGCATTAACATCATTTTTGAATTTTGAAAAATGTGTTGGTACATTGCCTGCAGAAGGCATTGATCTCATGAGTAACTTAGTTTTTTTACCTTTGTAAAGGTAAAAATATATTTTTGTAAATTTTTTTACAGAAATGTGTAAATTCACTCCTGGATTAAGGCCTCCCCGTGCTGTGTCACTCATGGAGGTCGATTGATCATACTTCTCCACAATCTGCACGCCGGTGAGGGTGGCTTTGTGAAGGAGAGTGCCCAGGACTGATGCACACATCAATTCCGACTGGTCTTAGTCACGGCCGGAAATCGCTCTGATGTTGTTGGGTTCTTTGCACAGTGCACGAACCACTGCACTATCACTCGATCCCAATTCAGTATGTCTTCATGGTAACTAAATGAAGCAAAAATAACCGTTCTCTACTCAAAAAATGAAGTCTACCACATTTAAGAATGCAGTGATTGTGCCGACCTCATTCAGTTATCTCATAAAATGTAATATCGTAGTTTCTGTAGATGTTTATTCTTCTTCTTAATTGGACTGGGTTTTTTGTATATTTTTGACCCTGTTACTTAATTTAGCAGCAGCATTTCATTGAGGTAATCACATCTGCACGTTAATAGGACAATTAATGGTAAGGCACCCGCAACGGAAATGCAATGCTCCGGGTTTCTGATCCAATTATCTTATCTTTAGTG